TGAAAGAAGGGGCTAGGTCTCGTGGTATAGCAATGAAAAATATATCATACAACGCCAAAATATATTCAAAATGTCATGGTTGAAGGGTTACAAGCAACATAAGTTACGCGTACATATAGAATTAGTCTCTTATGTAAAGATCAAGATACTATTATACATTATAGAAAAATGTAATACGTTGAAGAAGAAATACTATAAAGTAAGAAAAAATAATGATATCCACATTAGAAGTATGATAGTTTCTCACGGACTCTCACACTACTATGTGAAAGTTTGATTTTTTAATTTCATATAACTTCACTGAACAATAAAAGAGTTCTATGCATGACCTTGAAAACATTGGTTGCTCTGGTACCTCTCGACCAGAATCTAGGATGATGGTTATCAACTAAAATTGCGTCAAGTGTAAGATCTAAACTACCATGTCTACAGTAGTGACTTGATCCTAGGAGGAAACAAGTATAGATGTGTATTGATACTGGTTGACGGCAAGCCATACAAACAAAAAATCCATGCGAAGTAGATATGCTCTTGGACCTTGGTAAACACACAATCTATGAGGAATCAGGTGTTCTATGACTGCCAAATATATATAGAGTCACGGGAATACCTCTTACATTCGAAACAATTCCACACGCATTCTCGAAAAATAAAAATACGCCTCCCAAGATAACGAGGACTCTCGCACCCAGAAAAAAGTGACTGATGAGAGGAAAAAGGCTATAAAATGCATGGTCGATGTATCAAATATTACCACCAGGTAATCGGCCATGGACAACACCAGGGGGGCACTTATTCATCAGTCTCCATTCATGGCACGTATTCCTCGTCCTCCGTTCCAGGAACGGACCCGTGACGGGTCGTTACAGTCGAAGGCCTACGGGGACCTACGGAAAATCACGTTCCGTGGACGCACCTTCCTCTTCTCCGTCGGACGTCCATGCACGTACAGACCATTGGGCGTTAGGCCCTCTTGCACGCAAGGACCGCCAGGATAGATACGAAGACGACGAGAAGACCTTCGATCCGTATAAAGAGAGTGGCGTATGTCTACGGCGTAGCGCCTTCCGGAATAATAGAGAATAAAGGTTGGGAGTGCCCATCAAGTGGTCCATGGGATGCGATGTGCCTAGGTTCCCATAGCGTTTCCATGAAAATAATTGTCATACTTCACTCAACATATTTACTTTAATCAAATCCAAATATCTAACTTATTACATGAATAATGAACTAACGTCTTTTTTAAAAAATTCGAAATTTTACGTCATATATATATATATAATTAAATTAGATTCCATAAAATGTTTAGCAAACTAGTTGTTCATAAAAGAATGATATTTCTGAGAATGAGTCCGACGCGGTTTGAGGAGATTTCATTGTAGGCCTTTAGCCGTGTGGCCGGGAATGGTACATTTTCTAAATATGATTTACTTGATGGATGAATTTCAATGTCCATACAATATTACCAAAAAGGTTCAATATTGAGGAAGACTATGACTAGACTGGCACTTCGACGATAAAAGGCAGGGATGGCCGATTCTTCATCCCGTCAGATCCTACTCGGGACTGCCATAAATCTGTAAAGGGGGCTCTGCTCGAAACACTGTCACACTCAGCAGGCTCTGACAGATTCGATGCTCCCTGACGCTGCAAAGCTCTGGGTTCACATCTCTCCAAAGACATCTCACAATTTGGCCCAGAAGCCTTTTGCGTTTTCGTCATGCGATACCACTTACTCCCTTTGATTGATAATTAAATGAAAATCAGTTGATTGTTTGATAATTCGTACTCTGTAAAAATAAAATCAAAACACATCATTCTGATTAGAAAGGAAGAATGGAATGGTCGTTGGTTTGATTTATGTCGACAAACTTCATTCTGATAAACTCGTGACCGTGATCATGATGTCGAGACCTTCGTAGTGCAAATGACTGCAGCAATAATGTGGACATCTGACTCCCCTTCAGATATTCTCTTGAAGCCTGAAATCTGCATGACCACGAACATGAATGCCCATTCTGTCCTTCCTCCATCACGACTGACTCTCTGTCGCGAGCTCTGCTCAGCCTCTTCACTGATGAGCCTCGATGGGCAGTTATCAGCTACACACCAACAGCATTGGGAAATTGGGAGGCAGACGAGCCAAAGCTTCACACCTGCCCCAACGAGAGGTGATATCTCCATGCCTCGGTAGCAGAGACGCACTGTAGGATCGTGCTTCTGGATAGAAAGAATGATCGAGAGAGTCATGGACTACTAAGGATGCAAAATTGGTGAGAATGTTTGTCGATTATGGAAACCAGATCGTGCCTGTCGATAAGCACTAGCCACCACCATCGTGAACTAAAATTCTCCCTTCTTGCTTTCCATTGCTTTGCTCAAAAAACGAATCAGTCGATGGAGGTTCCATTGAACGACGAAACCCCTGGATGCCCCTCATCGAATCATCCCCTCCTACAGAGCAACACATACAGATATCAACTCCCTCTTGGAATCAGTGTGTCGGCTTTCTCCTCGACCAGAACTGCAGTTCCAATTTTCAGTGGCTTGCTCCAACATGGGCATAGGCTCTGATGCTTGGACTAGACAGTCTACAACAATGACTGACTGATTCGCTGGCTGCTCCGCTGGCCAGGCCTGTTCCTGTTCCTGTTTTCCTTTCCAAGTTTCTACACCACCACCCGTTCCCCCTCTTGGATGGTTGATCTAGATTGCTATTGCCAGACCAAATGAGATTCACGGATCAGGAAGAGCAACATTACGAACGGAAAATACAAGTTTGAACTTCCGACGTGATCCACACGAGAGGAATCTGGTGGTGTATATATCAGCATGACCGAGCTGAGTCGAAGTGGAGAATCTGATGCATTAATTTGTGTGACTCATAAGTCACAGCAACAGGAACTTAGGATACGCATCAAAGCCACTGAGAGGATCAAGCAATGTACGACGGAGGACATTGGCATCCTCACTCCGTGGTGTGTGAAATCAGCCTAGTCAAGAAGAACATGCCTGGAACATGCAAAAGCTTTGGTTTTCATCCTCCCCAGGCATAAGGTTCTTACTTGCAACATGAGGGTTTATCTTGGTGGGGCACTCACTACCTGAGCTGCATAAGTGGGGTGCAGATTCTCGTGCTTTGTGTTCGTGCTGCCATCTGTTTCGATTGTGCATTATTTATATGCTATTCCCATCAGAAATTTTTCTGTTGAAAAGTACTTCATTCCTTTGGAGCAACTGTCTCTGCCGTGGTGACACACTTCGAGAGCTTGCAATCGGATAGTCAGTGATAGTGAAGTCACATCCTTCATTCAAGCATGCTCGGCAAGAAAAGAAATGTGTACGACTAAAGTACAGTAGAGTTATAGTCTTTGTTGAAGCGATGAGGGGCAAGTTTCATGCCCAAGCAAAGGAGCATAGCCGTCACACATCATACCCTCCACGGTAAGTTATCATTTTTGCTGTCCGTACTTCGTGCAATCTCGGTCAGGTCGTTTCATTTTGTTCCATGGGACCTCCCCTTGTCTATTTCTCGTTAGATTCTGATAGGTTGGTTTTTATTTCTCAGGGAGCAAAAGCAAGGAACGTCTCTATTGAAGTTAAAACCATGGAAAGTCATTTGAGCAGAAGTTTGCCAAAAGTCACAAGAGGGGTATAAAGCCTACGATCGCAGTGAAGGATCATGGAACCAGAAAGGCTAAGAAAAGAGACGAAAATCTAGAAATGAGGAAATCTTTGAGATTTCGTTCAAGATGCGCTAGTTTAAATCGAGAAGATCATCTATAGATTTTCTCAAGAGACAATATTCCGACTTTTCTATTTATGCGGAGATAAGATCATTATGGCCCCGGGATCCGTAGTAAGGGGTCTGGAGTGCAGGAAAGCGAAAGGAGGACGAGGAGGAAATGTGGATTGCTTTTGTTGGCATGTATCGTCAGAGCCGTATGTTGGCTCTGACGATTCATGCATGCACAACACCATACAGTGGAGTGAGATATTGCATCGGCTGTATCAACTGTTTCACCAAAAGCATGGTACACGGGTGCCTGTTCGATTCTCATGTCTGACTCCTCTTGACGTGATGTGCCAGTCTTTTCGCAGAGTTTTCTAACAAAAAGGCTTATTTCAGAGGGGACTGTCACAAGGCGACTGATTCCTGACCGGCACGCGAAGCCTACCTGCACAGCAGAGTACGAAAGTGAAGGAACAAATCATGTCTGGATGATGCTTGCCGTCAGGTACGGAAGAATGTGAGTGAGCGTCTTGCTCCTCGGACACTTTGAAGTGACTGAATGCTCGCTTCTACCTCCTCACTGCGAAAACGATCTCTGCGCTGTTCATGGAGTTCAGCGTGGTAAATGCGCCTTAATACGTACACCTTAGTGCGTTAATATCCGCTGCAAATACTACGATGATGGGATTAACTTCCACTTCAAGAGTGTGCACATTTTACTGCCAGGTTCCGATAACGTTCTCGTCACATTCTGCTCGCAGAGATTCCAAGAAGGTTAACAACGGGGACAATGCAAGAGGTTCGGTACAAAGTGAAGGAAGAGCATGGACTTGATTCGGTCCGACAGAGGAACATCAGCTAAGAGAACTTCTAGTGGAAAAGTATTCGTCATTCGTGCAAAGCCGTTAATCGTGTGTTCGCCTCACAGGGGAAGCAAGGAATTTGGTGGGATTCGATCTAACAATAGCAATCTATGATGTGGATCAAGAGCAGATGAGGGGAGGTTACCCAGATCCCTGTGAGTTTGTTTCAGTGCTGTTACCGGCACATCTGTAGTCGAGCAGCTGACTCCTGTCCTGAGATGTCCCAGTCCAGAGGGTCCTTGAAATATCACCAAAATACGCATTTTCAAAAACACGTTATTCGTACTTTACGGAAACTTGAATCATCATCGAACTCAAACGTACCGAGTGAGATAACTCGGAATAGTCAAGGAAACAGAAAAATCACGGCCCCAACTCCAGAACAAAGAATGAAGACAAGCATTCCACGGAAGTATGACAAAGATTCAAGCATGCAGGGACTTACATACCGCTGATAGCTTCTTTCCTGGTTTCCTTCTTTGATCCGTGGTACAGAAAACCCCGGACGAATGGATCTAAGAGGCGAGCTTCTCTCTATTGTACACTCCCAACTGTTTGGCAGTTCCACAAAAAATATCTCCTACAATGAATCACACTACGAAATGGAACCTGACCATGAAAGGACTCTAGACTACAACTAAGTATATACCTCTAACAAAATTTTTGCAGTGTGAAGAACCTTTCCACACAGCTGACTTGTTTCTGTCGAAAAAAGTGTCTAGGCGTTCCAGACCCATGCGTAACGGCGCATGTGTCTGGAATGTCTCAATAATGTTTCGACAACCGACCAAACGAATGTACTCATGGGTGTTTAGAGGCCCTACTAGGGTCACCGGTTTGTTCTTTAGATTTCGAAGGAGAGTAACCCCCTTTAGCTTGAGCACGAGTTACACTCGACAAACCTGAAAGTATACTATCTAATGCTGAAGTTGTATTTGCTGGAGGAGACCTGCCAACGTTGCTGGCAGAATTAGCTTTTGAACACGGAGCTGAAGACGAATGCGACGTTGGATAGGCCTGGGGAACACCGTTAGAAGAACCGGATTTTGAAGCTCTTTGAGCTCTCTGGAATTGCTCCCATTCAACAGCCCTCTCTGCGGCGGTGAGCTGACCAGCTCGATCTTCATTACCTGACATAAGAGGAGAGGGCTGAGCTGATGATGAAGACTGCCTTTTAGAAGGCGGCAACGAACCCGAGGACATGATGGCCGACGCCTCTTCTCGCTGTCTCTTCCGTGCAGCAAGCATGTCTTCTCTGCTCGTACGCCTGTCTTGAGAAACACTCCTTTGGTCAGACCGCCTACTCTGGAAATCTGCTTGTTGCTGCATAGGACGCTGAGCGTCTACTGCAGCTCGAGTATCACCCGTTCTCCTTTCTCTGGCAAACTCACTAGAAATGACCCCGTCTTCTACCCGCTTCTCTTCTCCGCGATTGGTCACTACACTGTCCGGCCTACATCTGTCTCCCCGGCTGTCCTCTGAACTTCTTCTGTGCATATCATTGCGACGATCTTTGTGTCTGTCTACACCCACCTCTGGCATCTTTCCACTCTTAGACTGACTAAGGTCAGACTTAGACTTCTCCATGTACTTCTGAGCTTGACGCAATCTCTCCTGTGTCTTTTCATCCAATGAAGCTTGAGAGTTTGTAGACTTTCGCCTCTCATAATCAGCTCTAGCCTTCGCATCATCTGCTCTAATTCTTCCCTGTGACTTCTCACCAATCGGACCGTGGGCGCCTTGTCTAGACTTGCGCATCTCATAATCAGCTCTCGCCTTCTCGTCATCCACTCTGCTTCTTTCGCGTGACTTCCCATCCATCGAAGCTTGGCCTAGACTAGATTTCCGTTTCTGATGGTCAGCTCTAGACTTCTCCTCATCTGTTCTACTTCTATCACTGGGTCCACGTGAGGCCACTAAAACCTTGCCAGCCTCACTGCTCGTAGATTCTCCAGGGTACTTCCTGTCGTTCAGAAACCTCCCTTGCGGGTTATCGGCTACTGGTGTAGGAGAGTGCTCCAAAACTAGTTTTCTACGGTCCAAACCCGATCTTGCCTCGGTGCTGATGACTTTCTTGGCTGGACGTACTTCACTGGCATCACCACCGTGTCTTTGTGAGGGCTCTGATGTCCCATGGCCGACCGTCTGTCCCTCCACTCTTACTAGATGTCTTTTCCTTTCTTCTCTTGCTCTGTCCTCCTGCCCTCCGTTCAGCCTCTCTTCCTTTGGAGACTTGAGCTCTCCCTTAACACTACGGCTATCAGAGTCTCTTGAATTTACCTCCCTAATCTCGCCAGCAGCTCCACGAGGTTGTAGCTGCCGACTGTTTCCATCCAAAGGATGCTTCTCGGAAATTCCTGACTTCAGGAGTTCCTTGCTTCGAACATCAGGTTTCCCACCCCTCACTTCTATTCTGTCTACAGAGGGTTGCTTTCCACCATCCTCGACGGATCCCGACAACAAGGTGGAAACGGCTGGGGGTCTCGTTTCGGGCTCCGAAAAACTTTTCTCAGAATCCTCCCGCCTCCTATTATTAACTGGGCGAAATTCCCTTGTACCATGGGTACTTGCCCTCCTTCCAGAGGTTTCTTCATCTGCTAACCTCTTGGCACTTTCTGGCTTAAGATTATCTGGAACAGGTACTGGAGGAGAACCTTTCTTTTGAAAGAAAGATGAATATGGTTTCTGAATGGGGAAGAAAAGAGCCCTCTTCTTGGCATTTCTCAACAATGCGTCCCACGATGCATTTGCTTGCAGAGTGGCGGCGTTCCCCACAACCCAACAAGAAAAACGAGCCCTCGTGAGAGCAACATTCATACGTCGAACATCAGCTACAAACCCGATCCCTCCCGACTTTTGGTTCGAATTAGGCGATGCACGCACAGTGGATAAGATAATAATATCCACCTCTCTACCCTGAAACCCATCGACGGTATTGAACTCCACATCTGCAGCTGCTTTGGAACCCACCGTTCTTGTAAATTGCTCCTGAAGCAATCTGAGTTGTTGCTTGTAGGGGGTGATGACACCAACCCGCCCTTCCCAAAGTTCAGCCGAGTATCTCTTCTTCAGTGTCAGGTACAGTTGCAGAACAACTTCCACTTCGGCCTCGTTGCTGATAGACTGGGAAGCAGAGTTACCCCTTCCACCTTCCTTACCGTCTACCACATCGAAAAATACATAGGGTCCGAGATACGACTCTCTGTGGAAAATTGCTTTCCTACTTCCCTTCAGACCTGGCCCATCTGTGATCAGGTTATTATAGAAATGAGCTGAAGGAAACTCACGGATCTCTGGATGCATTCGATACTGTGTACTGAGCATGGTCACAGGATAGCCAGCCCGCTGTAACCGCTCAAACATACTACGCTCGTATGCCATCTTGCTGACATTTTGAGACAAAACTGTGGCAGGCAACTGCTTCGGATCTCCAACCATTACACACCTAGCATTGACTTGTGTAAGCAGTTGAAAAGGGATGAGAGTGGCAGGCTCTAGTGCCTGACCTGCTTCATCAATAACTACTGCATCAAAGAAACACTCCTGCGCAGGCTTGTGTTTCTTTGCCCCGACTATGGACTCCATACAGACTGTGTAAATGTCTCCTCCACACCCACTCAGCGTGGTCACGACAACATCCGCTTGTCTGATGATCTGCTTCCTGATGGCTTTCCGTTTGTTCTGAGACTCCTCCCATGATTTCCTACCTTCTTTCTCTGCCGTGGCTAGCTCTGCTGAGATCTCCCTACGCTGCTTGTACAGCAGGTTCAGCTTCCCTGTGGTCGCTGATGGACCTTGGGCGACGATCTTGGCAGCCTTGCTTGCTAGGTCGGACTCCAAATTGACAGGCTTCTGTCCTGTCTTTTCGTTCTCTTCGAAGCCTTTGGCCTGAGACAGCAACGCTTCCAGCACTTGAATGAACTCAATAATGTCCTCAAGCTTTGCTCTTGATTCCATCAACTTCGCTTGCGCTTTCTCCTCAGCTGCATCTTCGTCGTCGTCTTTTTCAGCTCCGAGTCTCTGATTGACGAGCGTGTCGATGAAAACTGGCAGCGAGTTCGGGTGCACCGACTTCACAGCCCCTATCCTAACAATAGACGGTCTGAAGAATGCTCCATTTGCTCCATACAGACCATTCTTCAATATTCTGGCGACAATCTCGTCTACGGCAGCATTGGACTGGGCGCAAACAAGAACTCTCTGTTTGGGACCGTCTCCAAACCCGGAATCACTGTCCTTCATCATCTGTTTAGCTATAGCGGCATCCTGCCATGACTTGCTTATTGCAAAGGAAGTCCTGGCTGCAGCGCTCATATTAGTCGATCGACCAGTGGGGACGTGAGAGTTCTCCTTCCCTGTTCTCGGGTTTCGCCGTGGAGATTTGACCGCAAGTAGGGCACTGATCACCGCCACGATGGTCCTGGTCTTCCCGGTTCCCGGGGGACCCTGCACCAGGGTGAGCTGATGAGTATTTGTCATGGTTTCCTTCCCACCAATGGCGAATGCAATTGCACGAATCTGGCTCTCGTTGTACTCCGCTGTGATTTTCTCCTGCAGTGCTTCTGGCAAACCACGCAAGTCAAGTGATGGCTTACTGTGCTCTGTGCTCTTCGCTTCTTGGGCAGGGATGGAAGTGTCGGGAGTGAGCAGAATAGGCAACAGTGGGAGACAAGGAACTGAAGACAGCGCTTGGCATTCTCGAAGTTGTGGAGACATGTTCATCACTTTGGTGAGATGCCACTTACTGCGGTCCACCAGCAGGCGTTTGGCTTTTGTGAGACGAGGATCACTCATGTTAATGTAAATCTTCATCAGAAGAATCGTGGCTCGACTCTTGCTCTCTCGTTCCCTGCTTTCAACTTTGGCTAGCAAGTGACAAGTCTGCTGTCCGACACTCATAGGTTGCCGGCTAAGCAAAATCAGATCGTTCTCTGCACACGATCTTGGTGCAGCATCGGAACCTGCTTCGGCCATGAAGCGACCGAGGTTAAAATCATCCACTCTCTCCAAGGACATTAATCTCACGACACCAGTTGTCGTGCTATCAGACAAGTTCAGCTCCTCATAAGAGCGCTGTAATTGGGCCTTGAACTCATCCATTAGTAATGGTCGGAAGATTTCCATGTATTGCTCTGAAGACTTGAAAGTCAAGGGCACTTTCTCAAGTCGTTCTCCAAAGTTGGCTAGATCATCATCGTCCACTCCCACTAAAGATAAGTAATTTAGAGAGAGAATTCTCCTGTACCAGTCATCCATTCGAGGAATAACACGAGGTTTTATGACCAGTTCCGGTGTCTTCACCACATTCCCTACTCCTTTTCCACCTTCACCGGGTAATTCCAGCCGAACCAACTGCCGTCTTGGTTTAGAAATCATGTCTTTCAGTCCAGTGGTCTTTCTGACATTTTCCAGGGCCTGATCCAGAGGATCTACATCGTTGCCAATGACGAGCTGCCTCAAGATTGCGTCTGAAGACTTGGTTTTCAAGTCCGGATCGGCGGCTTTGGTAGATGCTTGCTCCACTGCCGGCGTTGGAACTTTCAGATCTTTCTTAACACTAGTGGCAGCTTCGGAAGCAGCTAATCTCTTGGCCCTTTCTTCTCTTTCAACTCTTTCTCTCACTTGCATTCGCACGACATCTTCGACCCCAGCTCGCTGTTCGAGGCCTGTCCGATGCTCCGCCCTGAGTGAAGACAGTTTGCCTGCAGGCTTTTGAGGCTTGGCATTGTATTTCTTATAGCCAGGTGGTTTAAAAGGGGTGGACTTGCCCGAGGGCTGGATCACTCCTCCCTTGCTTGCTTGTCCGAGCAGCTGATCAATTCGAGCCTTTGTGAGGAAATTGTCAAGAGTGGAGGAGGGTCTATGCCGAATTGAAGGTCGCTTAAACAGCGATTCCTCGTCCCTGTTTGTAGAACTGGTCGTTGTATCCAACCCAGCATCGGCCTTGTAGTCACCCAAGGATTCTCCAGGTTGAGTCGACGCACCAGCTGCATTACTTGATATCGACATCTCTGAAAGCGATAAGGATGCTGAACCGTAGTTATCTTCATCCTCTGTGAGATCGATGATATCCCTGTATCCCTCTTGTTGCCTTACAGGTATACTACCGTCCTTCAGGAATCTCGAAGGTAGGGCCTGTGTGCTTGTAATCGACGGCCAGCTCAGCTGCCCGTTGGTGTCACTTGACTGAACCTTTGGAAGTCTCCGAGGTAGATTATCCAGAAATCCTTGACTCTCAAGTGTAGTTGATAAAGACTGCAGAAGTGTACCCAGCTGAAGTTTGCAACTCTCTCCCAGTGAGAATCCTGGCTTCCGAAACTCCACAATCACATCCTCCACGATAGAAGAAGACACAAGTTGAGTTTTCCGCAGATCCTCGAGGATGGACACAACGGCCTCTTTCCACCACCTCTGTATGATGGCTGATGCAAGATCCCCCCATCTGACAAGAGCTTGAAACCATGTCAAATCACTGCTCTCTTCGGCAGACGAGCACTGCTTCAGGCTAGGAACTGTAAATACTCGTTTCTTGTGAGCAGGATCTAGATGGCGACAGACCAATGGTAAGAGTTGCAACATTCTCGTGAAAGTCATCAACTGACCTGCACCATCAACGTACTGTCTTCCCTCAAATAAGGTCTTTTCCAACAAGGGCCATATATGGCTCGCAACAACTCTGCAGAGACGACTCCAAACTTCCTCGTCTCTCCGTATCTTATGGGTTGCAGGTATTATCTCGGTGGAGGTACTCAAACTTGGGAACGTTGGCTGGCTAAGAAATCCTCCATCTTGAGAGACCTGTGAAAGGCTTGTGAGCTTCTCCTTCTCGGGTGTCTCTCCCAGTACTAGCAGCTTCCAGACGTGGAAGAAGAGCTGTTGAAGTCCTCTTGCGCACTGCGTCAATGGCCAGCGCAGAAAAAGTTTTGACGCATAATGCAGTCCTCGACTTACAGCGGCAGCAGAAGCTTCGCTAGTGCAAAGCAATTCAAGCCCACTCTCCAAGGTGCTAGCATTTGCAGTGCGACGAAGTATCTCCTTCCCAAAGTCCTTGAAAACTGAATTTGCATCCAATAACAACAGCACTACTGGCTCGGCCATTCTTGGCTCCCAAACCCAGGCCTCCTGCTGCTCAAAACCACCATCCCCCAAACGGTTTACGTAGCTCTCTGCTTGCCTTTTCAGAATTCCAACCAGTTCCTTGAGATGTGCCTTGGACTTGACTGCATTCGCACAACCTTCCCCACCAGCACCGTCATCATATCCTTTTGGCTTTACCCACTGTAAGGCGGCCAAAATGACATCGGAGCAGGCTATGACATCACTACCCACCTTCCCACTGTTTAGACTTGACACTGCTTCCAGGTCAACCAGTGAAAGACGACTTAGAGCCCACATGATGGATTTGGTAAATGAACGAGGGACACTTACCGGAAAAGTTGCACTGAGAACCTCAATCCAGATAAGAGGGAGGCAGGACCATTCTTCACAAGCTTCCACGGATCGGGTAACAGACAGAAAGGACATCGAGTACTTGATGTCTGCCACGACCTCCGCTTCTCCGTTGGGCATCTCCTCTTCAAATACAGAGTCGAAATCGTCGTCTCCTATATCAAGCATGTACCTCCTCGCACTTGGTGTACTCGCTTGCTGAATTGTAACAGCAGCCAACGCCGCTGCGTCAGCTACAAAAATGGACTGCATCAAATCAATTGCCGACTGCCGGACAGCCTTCATGAGGGACGTATCCTTCAGGGTCGCTACCAAAGGCGGTCCCCAAACATGCACGCATTCCACCGGAGGCGAGGGTGGATCCATGGTATACCCACGCCCTACTATAGAGAAAGCAACCTGCCGAGCTTTCTTATTCACAAGCGGTTTGAAGTTGCTGCTACATGGAACTTGCATCAGAAGAAAATAAATCAGCCTTCTGCGCTGATTCTCGAATTCTCCATCCTGAAGAGCCTCGAGGGACTGGAGAAAGGGCTGAAACAAGTCGAAGATATGCACATGCATGCGTTCCTCGTGCGAGTGGAAGCACTGGCTGAGAAGTGTGTTCCGCATCACACCAGGCGAGAAGTTCATGCCCAGCCACAGCTTGTATCCTAATACCTCCAAGAGCAGTTTCAGACATCGCAGGGCGTTCCAGAAGACGGATGTTGCTTCACTGACATGATTGAGTACAATGCTAACGAACACTGGATAGCGCTCCAAAACACCCTTCAAAAATGCTGGGGCTTCCAAAAGACCTAAGATGGTTGTCAGTCCTATCCACAGAGCCTCCTTTGAGAAACCAACCCTCGGACGACCCAGACTCCTTTGAGATGGTTGGAGGGCACTATCCGTCCGTGGAGAACTTGAGTCAAATGCATCAGATTCTAGGCAGTGCAGGCACCTTTGTAGAAATGGCTGAATTGACTCCAATTCCTGCTCATCTTTGAAACTAGGGAGAGAATGAGCAAGCTTGAGGGCAATCCTCCTTACGCCTTGGTCTGCATGACACAGCAAACTGTATACACCTGGGTACCGCTGACCCGATGCAAGAGACAGGTCATGGGATTCCTCGACATGGATGAGAAATGGTTTCAAAATGTCATTTATTTCAGCATCCTCTAACAAGAGAGGAAACATGAGCACCTCAAACATAACACAGATAACACTTGCCGAGTCTTCATTTGGATCTAGTGAATTTGCATCAAACTTGGCCAATAGATCCTTCATCTGTCCCGCCACTCGCTCCTCGTCAAGAGCTCGTATTATATCAAGCAAAGGCTTTACAACATCTTCCATAAATTCTGAAATGTAAAACTCCTTTGCCTTGTGATGTTTGACCACACAGCTTGTACAACTCCTCAGCTCTTTGCACAGACGTTTCCATAGGACTCTCAGAGAAGAGTTGGACGACGTTTCTTCGTAAAAGAGATAAAAGGGTTCCAAGAGCGGAAGCATGATCTCCCTATGCCCACACCAGCAATGCGAGTCCTCTGGCAGATCTCTAAGAAAGGCGAATGCCTGGAGAAACCATTGTTCTTTAGTAACTTTGAACCGGTCATCATCTACGTTACTGCCTTCATCTGCTTCTAGCTCTTCAATCTCTTTCCACTGCTGAATAAGACGATCCTCCAGAGCTGCTCTCTTCTGGTCGTCCATCTTCTCGACTCACTGCCCCTTAGGGCCCAGCGGTCTAAGGGTCACATGCCAGGTCCCATGCCAGGCCAAACTCCCCTTTCAGGACGAGAAAATGGAGGAACCGACATGATGTTTCGATCTATATTCGCAGATAGTCTCGGTCAGCTCTGTGCCTTGGACCGCCATACTTTCACAATCTTCAATGCATTCGGGAAGATAAGAGCGAATGTGACTCTCTAAGCTGAATGTTTTCAGGCTGGAGAGAGAGATACGACAAGTGATCGCTAGCCATTTCGCAACTTCAGAAAGAACTGAAGAGTACCCTGTGGAACAAACCATCACTGCACGATCTCCAGCAGAGTCTTCATCCCAGCGAATCAAAAAGTTGCCCCAAATGCAGCTCAAAGGATTCACAGAGCTCATACAGCTCAGACAAAGACACTCATGATGCAGTCTCGTTTTTTGACAGATGATTTCAAAATCTGCTCACAACAATAAAAAATGTTGTCAAACTCCGAGAATGTGGCCAAACGTAAGCAAAATATACACAGCACAAACTATACAACAGTAGCTGGTTCACTGATGCAGTCAGCTTTGACAGCAGTCCCAAAAGTACAACACTTGTAGCAAGTGGCATCGCAAGTGTCCACATGAGGTCTACTTGATCGTATTGTTGTGAATGTTACTGTAATTGATATTTCGCTAGCTGACCGAAAATATGATTGATCATTAATTGAAACATGATTGAAGATTTGATCAAGAGAAGCAACGAATGGCCTTGGTCGACTTTATCATGTAGGTATTTACGTGTTTCTTAGGTTACGAAGCCTTACATTCAAGTACGAAAAGAAACCTTACGGGTGTCTGACAGCTCCAAGTGAAGTGAATTGAAGTTTCCATCCGTTTTAGCATTTGGCGTTTTAGTAGACATGCCAACGCATGTCTACTAACAACCCCATCTGCTTATAACTTTCTCTACATTGTAAGTTCAAGCTGGCGAATGTTATTGCCACTGGTTCGCAGCCATTTTAATGAAAAGGATTTCGTATGAGACTTTTTCTCGAGATTGGACCTGCCTTGGACAAGCCCTTTTAAGCATGAATTCGAATACACTGAAAGTTTCAGAACATCTTAGCATCCAGTTTCTGTCGGCTCGGCGAAGCACTAAAGAGTCTAGATGTAGTCCCAGTTAAACTGTATTGGTTTCTAGGGTATTCCTTCAAGCCGCAGATGAAAGAACTGGTTTTCAGTTACTGAATTGGTTCAAATCCAGTTTTTAAGGTCGGGAGTAAACAGAGGATACTATAAAACAAGTTGACCTGTTGATTGGCCTCTTTCCAGTCATACGAAGGACCAGGCATGACAGAACCTGGAGAAACTCATCAGACCTGCGCAATTCGGAACATTGGTCAACAATTTTGACAAAGTCTTAGGATCTGTCAAGGCTTGTAAAAGATGTACCTGGTGGGAAACGAAGCAAGATGAAATTTCTGGTGGAGAAATTTGCCTTCCCTGTTCCACTCTTTCGCATACACAATCTGGGTGTTATCGAACGAATTTCTCGAGTATTCAGAGGTACGTCCCGCTTCCATTCCAAAACCCCAAATTGTGGCAATGAACACTCGAACTAAACCTCTCCCGCACACATCCCAAACAGCTCCTACCTGCACTCAATTGACACAACTCATAATGGCCGAGTTAGAACAGGGAAATCCTACAAAGTACCCAAAACATGTCCAGAAGGTGGGTGGATAGTTCATTAGGATCATCCTCGTAAATTAGCAAAACCCCATGCTCGATTAACTGACCGGCTTTTGGCTTTCTCAGTGAAAATGAGTTCCAATTACTTTGTACGCTAACAGTACCATCAACAGCATAAGGTGAGAAGGGGAAACGTGATGGTGACAGGAAAGAGGCTGCTGCTTGGCTGCTAAAGTAGTTTTAGACTGGAAAGCAGACAATTGACAGGAGAATCACGACTCCTACGTGGAGAAGGAAATTGGAGGTTGATAGTTGGGGACCTAGATGAATGAGCCGTCCGTGGACATACAAAATGTACCATGCATATTTCCGTGAACGTAATTGTTGGCAATTCACATTTAGAAAAGTGGATCTTTACTGAATTGAGCGGCAGGTGTGTTACAGTTTGAGGTTGACTACAAGATGGCATGAATATAGTTCTAGGAGAGATTCTAATGTACAGATACTCGCGAACTCCGTACTTCCTCTACCAGCACAGCATTGAGTCAATCAATTTGATCGGAATCTCAGCGGAGGTATAACAGTGGTAAGCAGATGCACTGCCCTCAAGAAGAAAGCAATATATCAGGATAGAGGAACCCAAACCTTGAGCAAAATGAGCCCTCAATCGTTCGTCCCCATCCAACCCATCGACTCCCATTCCGACACTATATGATTGCGACATCCGCCTCTATCCCTCCCGTATCACCGTAGCGCCCAGCTTGGCTTGCCGACAATGGATACAGAGATCCAAGTCGGAATTGGGGAAGAATCCGCGACTTGACGAATCGTCATGAAGACACGGGGCATTGTGGTGACATGAACCTCCTCGGGACTCCCGCCCGCAAACCCTCTCGTCGGCCGCACGAGAACCAAAAGGCGTCCGGCTAAAGCCCCCACCCCTAAAAGTCCATCATTCAATTTCATGTGATGCATCAGGCTCAAATCTGCAGCTCTTTTGCCACGAAGAGCACAGTGGAACAGTCCTGACGGAGCCGGACACCAAACGGGGGAGGTTCATTAGAAAGGGTCCAAGAACCAATGGCCGAAGCCAATGAAGTCCTGCAAATGGTGTGGCAATTGTCGCAAGGTAAAGAACTGTCGACGTTTGGAATAGAATAAACCCTCGCTGCCGAATTCCACCCTAGTTCCCGGCACGAACGCAGGCAGGAATATCTGATTCGAATTTTCGAGCACGGCAAGCAAACTTTGGATACTTCTACCTTGCTCTAGGCTTCATCCGATCGATCCGAAAGCTCGGACAAGGCCGCGGAAGATTCTTCCGATTCCATGGAAAGGGCACAGCAGCAGCTAGCTACCCGTGGCTCATCCAATCCGCACCCATGATGACGGTGTCGTCAACGCCTGCCGTCTTGAGGGCCACATTTAGCTCCCGGAGAAGGAGGCGAGCCTGGGGGAGGGTGAGGGTGAGGGTGAGAGACTCACCCAGTTGTGAAGGAAAGTTCAGCAGATTTGGCTCTTCACGCCCCACCTGCAACCAAACGCACAGTCTGGTTGGGCCAGCGACACCCGAGAGCACAGTTGTAGGCCCATAGCGTTGCGTTGCAGGTTGCAGTAAATGCAGCGCAGCCGCAGCTGCTGCTGCTGCAGCAGCAGCATCAAGTGGTCTACGTCCCTTCCCGCTAAACCTCAAGCTAAAAGCTTATAGATTGGATAGCCCACGGCGCTGGGAGTGATTAGCACCTCAAGGGGCCGATTCGTTGACCACGCAGCACAGGAATTTCTGCAATATTTATGTCATGAAAAGATTCTCCGACGAGGGAATGAATGAATGAATGAAAGCGAGAGAGAGAGAGAGAGAGAGAGCCGTCGTCTTGGAGGAGGAGGAAGATTGATTGGCAGTAGTAAAGAAGAAATGCGAGCTTCATCAAACTGCCGTCGTCGTCATCGTCGTACGACGGAGTACCGAACAGTCGGGGTCGTACACCCTTCTATCTTTAGAGACCATCGCTGCTGTGACGGAGATTGTGTGTCTTTCTCTCGGGCCACGATAGAGAAAGCGAGTCATCGCCGTGGAAGGATTGTGTTCTTTTCGTTGACATGGTGCTGAAGTTAGAGCCGAGAGAGACACAGAGAGAGCTCAGAGCTGTGATGATCTCAGGAGTTGATGGGGTTTATGAACCATGCCATGAGCAATTTTTACCCTTCCCTTTGCTCTGCTTTGCTCTGAGGTTTGACCCACTGTGCCACTGACATCACTGGCATCACAGTACGCACTGCTTTTCGAGCTTTGACCAACTGAAGAGGATGGAACGAACAGCCCAGCAGCCCAGCCTAGCCCAGCCCGGCCAGGCCAGGCCAGCATTTCAGTGTCATCTTTCCAATCGCAGTCTCGGATCTTGCATGCAACGAGGGACCTGCTAGAATGTCAACCCTCACGCTTGCCTCGCTCAACCCTGGCCCTGTTCTCCGCTGATCATGATTGTGAGCATGCACCAGGATTCGAATCCCTCTTCAGCAAACCGGCTCGGCTGAGCTCGCCCTGAATACGGTCCCAGCATACAAAAGGCACATTTGTATAGTTCCCCGCTTCCCCCGTGAGCCAGTTAAAGGTAGCGCACCTCTTGAGATTGAGCTTGCGTGTTGCTGTTAGCTGGCTGGCTGACTGCTAAAGCTCAAAGATTCTGCAGGCTCCAGGATGTGGGGCGAGTTTGGGGTGCATTATGGTGCTGGTGCACCGGAGCTCATGGTGATGGCCACAGTGACGGCAACGAAACAGAGAAACCCAAGGAGAGAGTGTCATTGCAGCATTAGAATACTGAAATCAACTCTCGGTCAACTTCTATTTTAGATTTTGTGCACAAGTAAGTTACAATGAGATGGCTAGCGCCCGGGCCCGAGCTGACGGGCTCACAGGACTCAAGCCATCTCTCTCTCTCTCTCTCTCTCTCTCTCTCTCTCTCTCTCTCTCTCTCTCTCTCTCTCTCTTGTGGACACAAAGCTGCCCATTATACTATATTCCAGTTACAAGAGACAACCAGCAATCATTGTTCGAACGAGTGCAGCTAAACCCTCGTATCCGTCCCTAGCTGTAGGTTTACACGAACGCACAGAGGGCCGGGCAGGGCAGCTCAGACACCTACAGACAATTCGTCCTCTTCTTCTTCCCCACGGGCAGCAATCGTCTCGAATCGATCATCTTGCTTGATGAGCTCTGCTGCCTTGCTTGAACACATTGCACGTTGCTAGGGTCTAATTCCCGGGGAAGAAATCCTGTCATCCTGCCGTCGTCCTCGTCGCTGACTGGCGACACGGCGTTTAGCTGCAGCTGGTTGTCGGGTTGAACAAGAAGGTTCCTGAAAATCCTGGAGAGGGAAGGGCCGATGGCGATCGCTCTTCTGATGAATACGAAGGTCGTGGGGAACCGGGTATCGGTAGATGCTACGGTGAACGTGCAGAATACGGAGATTGCTCGATTGACAGAGAGCGAGCGATTGATAGAGTGGTGCGTATGCATGACTAGAGCTGCATGTCCAATCTCGGCTCGAGCATGAAAAGTTTCCGACCGGCAGAAAGCGCCGGCAGCGTCTGACAGGTTCCGGACGAGAGATTGCAGACGAAATACTCACTGCGGCGGACGAGCTCGACGGAGACGCAGGCGAAGTCCTGGCCGAAGTCGCCCTTGAGATTCCAGCAGGCTTTGGCGATGTCGCCCAGGAAGGACATGACGGGGATCCAGCGGCAGTCGGCCGAATCGTACTCCCAGAGGCGGATGGAGAAGTCGTACTGGTTCATGTCGAAGCTCTGGCCCAGGAGCACGAGGCGGCCCTGGCGCTCGTACACCGAAGGCTTGTAGACATTGAGCACGGGGATGTCGGCCAATCGAGAGGGGAAGAGCGAGCCGGCGTCGGGGCAGAAGCGCCAGGCGCTGAAGAGCGAGTCGGAGTGGCAGGTGACGAAGAAGAGCGCGTCGCGGACGATGGTGGCGTCGTAGACGAAGCCGACGTCGACGAGCTGCTGCGACGCGCCCTCGCCGACGGTCATGGTACGGCCGAGGTGGAACTGGAACTGCGACCAGGCGTCGCGCCCGACGTCGTAGGCGTCGAGCGTCCACACGTCGCAGCGCTCGTGCTTGGCGCACTTCTCGAACCAGGGCCCGAGCAGGACCTGGAAGGCGTCGCGCGGCCGGTTGTCGACGAGCTTCTTGACCTTGGCCCAGAACAGCGCGGGGCCTTTCTCCTTGAGGTGCAGCGGCAGATTGAGCAGGCGGTGCGACTGCGTGAACGGGTTCACCAGGTAGATGATCTCGCTCTTCTGCTTGGACGGGCAGGCCGGGCAGGTGGCGCGCCCGCGGTGCTCCGAGCTGCGGCAGCGCTCGGTGCCCAGCGAGGGCTTGGGCTGCTGCCGCCGGAAGAAGATCATGAACACGCCGCCCTTGACTGCGACCACGCGCACGAACCGAGTGCATGTGCTCCCCAGCCCGCCATGCAGGAACATATTGAACCACGTCCGCGGGAAGATGCTCCAGCGGTCGCCCTGCGGGCTGAAGAACTGGAAGTCGCAGTCGGAGCAGAACTTGCCCTCGAGCATGCACTTGTGCGCGCCGGGGCGCAGGTAGAGCGTCAGGTCCGATTCGGGGAACGCCGACGAGAGGAAGAGCGGGACGCCGCTCGAGGGCGAGCTCAGGCGCAGGAAATTCGCGTCGCGCAGGATCGCGCTCCACCGCCTGCACACGGCGCGCAGGCGGAATTTGTCCTGCCACGGCAGCCGCGCCAGCACCAGCATCAGCAGCTCCTCCGGCAGCTGCTTGACGAGGGGCGGCTCCATGGCGCTGCAATCCTTGTGCTGCAATCCTGCGGGCGAATTCGCGAGGGCGAGACTTCGCGATGGCATCGCTCGCCTCGTCGTCGTCCTCGAACGCTTGCGCAGCAGCCTCTATCAGTCGGCAAGGGAAGGGAATGGAATGGAATGGAAGAAAGTCAGCGCGCCCGCCCTGTCTCCTCTCGCCTCGCCTCGTCTCGTCTCGTCTTCTCCCGCAAAATCTCCTCGAGATCTCAGAAAGCTGCTGCTGCTGCTGTAGGCAGATAGATCTCTGCTTGTTCTGCTGCTCTCGGTCGCAGTTGACTTGTGGGTTTTTCAACTGGTCGAGGCCGCCATCTCTGGATGCACTGCACTGGCACTCCGCAAGCTCTACAGGCTGCAAACGCGTTTACTTGCTGCTGCCTCCACAGTGGCGAATTGTGCTCTGCTCATGAGGCTCCGCAGCAGCACCCCCTTTGACTCTTCTACCCCCGCCCGTCACCTGAGAAGCCGGAAACTGTTATGGCGACTGCGCCTGCTCAGCCTCTTCTCCCTCATCCCGGAGCCCACAGTCAAGATTCCGTCGACCAACGCTACAGGCGAAGCAGCTCTCGCTCCTACCGCCATCCCTCCCCTCTCCTCCCCTGCCTCCGTTTCCTTTTCCTTCTCCCTCTCCTTCTAATGCTTGATCGCAAATACCTTCCGTGCCACCAAATTCTCCGTGCCACGAATTCTCCTACAGCGATCGGTGCGGAAGTGCCCCGATCTCTTTATAGACTCCCCCTCCCCTGCCTTGCCTGGCCTGGACTGGCCTGCACACTCAGCTAGCTCTCACCGCACCGCCATGATTAACGAATGACGAGGCCAGATGCATGCTCAAGCAACCGCGATGTCACACTCCCAGTGCCTCCCGGCCTGCCGCACCGAACTGTACGGGCTGGTCGGGTCGGTGTCTGGTGTCTGGTCAAGACAGAAAGGAGAAGAGGCAGAGGCAGAGGGCGAGGGAGAGGGCGAGCAGGTTCTCAGTCACCATCGCAGCGGGCGGGCTTGCTCTTGTCCAGCTCTGGTGCTCACGGTAATGCCGTGCATGCCCGGCTCGCTCACTGCTCCGTCGATTTAATCTCGAATTGGAGCGCCGTCCTTGTAGTACTGCCAATTCCAGCTCTGGCGATCGCGGCCACAATGCATGCTGCAAGCTGCCGGTGACGCTGATCGGCGGTCGTACATCCAATGCCTCCGGCTCGCGAGTGTTTGATCCAGTCAAGCAAGCAGTGAACGAAGACAGAATCGAGTTGGGCAGTGAGTAGTCACCATCCCACCATCACCACTACCACCACCTTCCCACTGTACCGTCCCACTGTTTCGCAATCTCGTGCTCACGGGACGGCACCAGCTTCGTGTCAAGTCCGCTTGCCTGCCTGTCTGGCTAGCTGGCCGCCTGTCGCTCTCTGCGAATTGCCCTGCAGCCGAAGCATTTCATGCTTTCTCCTTCCTCCCTCGGCCTGAATCCGACCCCAACAGAGGCGTCTCGTTCGCTCTCTCCGTCTGGCAGAAGACTCGAACCGACTCGCAGTTATATAATTTTATCAACGGAAATGAAATGCGATCGTGACCGATCGGTCAAGGAGGAAAGAATCGAGCAGAACTGGATTCGGGAGGGAGAGAGGGAGAGAGGGAGGGGAGGAGAGTGTTCGCTGTGCTTGTCGTGAATATGTTTGTCAGGGGTTTAAGTCGACACAAGGAGAGAGTGTCGTATGTGCGATCCGAGCCTGTGCACGACGATGGCAGACTCGCGAATTACGTACGGGGAAAAATCTCCCGACCAGATGTCAAAGGGCGGCAACGATCTACTGTAGGGATCCTGTGGTATTAAATCATCTATCCTCCTGTTTGTTCCGAGACACAGCTGGCTTTGGTGGAATGCTTATCCTGGAGCTCAATTCGCGATGGGCGTCAGATCGCGATGTTTAACTCGCCTCGCAGCAGTCCAAAGCCCACCTCGCCACGTGCTGAATTGCCATTGCTCGCCCGCCTTGGTCAAATGGAGAGCCTTAGGCGCATTTCACGTCGGTCTCATAACGACCATTGTCACGAGCTCGCTCCCAACCGTTTTTAGAAATCATGTATAAGTGGAAGACCCCTCTGACAGTCTGTGCCAACTTTGTCAATTCCTTTCTTTTCGTTCCACAAGCCGACGTCTCCCTCACTCCCTCGCTCGTCTCAGTCCTCCCTCCTGAAGGACTCGACGGCTCAGAGTAGGAGTTTGTCTCCACCACCGCCGCTGCAGATCCGCCCGAGTACAACTCCTCCTCTCTGCGGGTGAGGCAGAGACTGTCCTTGCGCTGAAATCCTAGGACCGAATTCGGTGGAGACGAGCAGAGGAGGACGAAAATCGAATGAGAGAGCTGGCACGAGTTTGAGGCTGAGAGTGAGTCCGGAGCAGTGCAGGCCAGTCACGTCGCGGGCCGTCCCATCATCAAGGACGTTTCACCGATTGGTCTCCACGTCGCAGAGTTGGTCGACGACGATGGGGACTACTGAGCTAGCTGGCCGGCCTCACACATAGATAGATCGTCGCTCGTCGTCGAATGATCCATCCGGGGCATCTATCTATATATATGACACAGAGGTGAGCAGTGCATTGACTTGACCTGTCAGACGGTCGACTCTTTGCTCCTCGAGTCATCGACAGTCTACGTGAAGAATGAAGGAACAGAGAGAACTTTTATCTTAATTATATTGCGCCTCGAGGCAGTCACGCAGCCAGGCCTCAGACAATCATTAATGAATTCTGCAAACAGGATGAAGCATCAGTTGGAGTATCAAACCGTACACAAATGAAGATCGGCCCACATTTCGAAGTTGTTGCTCACAGTACTGCCTCGTGGCATGTGCAGGTTGGTGGTAGGTGACGTCATGATCTACCTGAAAGGGCAAACACACGCTCTGTTTGGCAGAAACTGTGTTATGACCATATCTAACTCGAAATGGACAACGAATGATCGAAAAGTAGAGTACCGTCACGAGGGAGCTCATGTGACGAGAGAATCATCAACAGACCTCCATAGCAGTAATCTGATAACGTCTGGCAGGGCAGGGAAGCCTATGCCTCGGGAATGGTCTAACAGTGCGAGGGAAGCGACAATCTCTACCATTTGTTTTAGTCGCAGGTATCGAGCGCTATTCTTGATTATGGTATGTTCCCCATCCGCCTGGTGAAGCAGCTGCAGCAGCAGCAGCACGAAGCTTGCTGGAAGCTTCTGATTTTCTCAAATCCTGCCAACGTAACGTGATCTTTATCTGGTTGGTGTACGACCTTCACGGAGCCCCATGAGGCCCGGTTGAAATCCCGCAACATGTTCAAAACAAACTAAAAATCTGATCACCGAGCGCCGCATCGAGGCAGCGAGGCAGAATGAACTGTTTTGCGCTTCATTACACACACTAAAATCTCCAAGGACCGTGTCTCTTCTTACGGTTTATGAACGAGATGACGACAGCGGTTGGCAGCCTTAGCATCGACTCTCACCGACTTGGATCAGCGAAAGTGACAGCCAGGTGGTGAATGCCTTTCGACAATGCAGCTCTACAGACTGCCCTGCACCCAATTGTGATATTCCAGCGACCATGTGACTGAAGTACCACGACACGGCGCAGAAGAACCGAAGGCTTTGGGTCACCAGAACTGATCGTACCAAGTTTGCAGTTCCGAACAGGTCAGGAGCTGAGCTCACCGCAGCCTGAGGAAACCCGAGGCAACTTGTCTAAAAGCACCTGAGGCCATCAGAGCAGATGCTGCTGGAAGTGTTACCAAGTCCAGATGCATAGCTCATCTACAGGGGAACCGAGTTCTTGGTATTACTTAGTGTGACGATTTCCACGTGCCTGACTTCATACAAGTCGTTGGACACCAAGCAGCTCCTGCTGCAGTAGTCCCACGACTCTCGAGTGGTGGAGACCGAGCGACTGAAAGGTTGTGAATTTGCCCTTCAAGGCGACTTGTGTAGCTTAGACATCATTCCGACCTCATTGTCATGCTCATTCAATCGACCCGAGGACATTGCAGCCCACATTCACATCGAGCCTGCAACTCTCGAGAACACGAGTGGAACTCGAAAACGAAGAGACATCAGCTGGAAGATCGACAACAGTGAATCTCAGCAGTGATCACTCACAGATCCCTCCCCCCCACCCCTTGATTCCCCGAGACCCCACAGAAAAAGGGAAAAAAAAAAACAATCTCCCAGATAGAACCTGTCACGGTGTAAGATAACACATGGACAAGCCATGACTGGTCTCTCCTGTCACTCGTGTATCGTGCGCACCACCCGTCTACGTGTGCTGGCTGGCTCGCTGGCTCGCTGGGGTCTACGGCAGGCACTGAAACCAGAACCAAACTCCCACACAAACACTCACGCTCACACACAGACACAAATTCGGCAGCTGCGAACCCCGTCCCTAAAACCCCACCCTACCTCTACCTCTAACGAACGTGCAGGACGGACGAATTCGTCGCAGCAGTCAACGCACTGTCGAGCGAGAGAGCGTCGAAGGACCGGGCGCGTCCATGCTACCGGTCGGTAGCCAGAAGCCCATCCCGGAAAACTGCACGGCTATGGCTTTGGCGCGAAGCCCCCCTACGGGAAAGGAAAGGGGGGGGGGGGTCGGAAAGTGCACTCACTCGGTGTCCGAGAACGCTTTCGGAACAGGTGTCATTCCTGAGGCTCGTGGCCCTTCGGTTCTCGGTCTGGGGGGCGGGGAGGCGGGGGGCTCGACCCATGCATGCATGGGCGCGCACCTCACCTCACCCATGCTGCCATGCTGCCATCCATGGATCGACTCCACCCGTTGGAGCGTTGCCGATGTGGACCCGCGGCGCGGAGCGGGGCAGCGCAAGGCGTCAAACGGTTTCTTTCGCTTTTTGGTCCCTCGCGCGCGCGGGGGGCGCCCGCGGACCGACCCGCGCGACGTTGGTTGGCGCCATGCGTTGGCGTTACGGAGGGAGGGAGAGAGAGAGAGAGAGAGAGGTTCGCCGCCGACTCGCGCCTTGCGCGCGATCTCCCCATTCCTGCACCGCAGTCCGTGGCGCTCGCGGTCCTCGAGGTGCAGCAGGCCACTGCAGACGAGCGATGGAATGGAAGGTCAGGTCGTTCAGCTCTGCTCTGCTGGGGCCGTCGTGCATCGAGTGCCTGGGTCTCGCATTCTCGCGTTCCGACGGAATTCTCTCGACTTTGCGCTTTCCCGCTCGGTGATAAAAATCCACAGAATGTTTCTTCGTGGTGCGGGCGAATATTCATTCTGGCGAGATTTTTTTTTAAAGCGTGATGTCGACCCGGCCTCATGAAACTCGCGGCCGGTCGGATCGCAGTTCTAGGCCTGAGCTCTTGCAGAATCCAGACTATACCTCGACATGCTCATTGTACCCAATCATCACGTCCGTCACACAGACCCAAACACAGGGAACCCGGAGCAAATTCAGTTCCGAATTTCATTGTTTAAGTCCTCGAAGGCTCAGATCGACTTGCCATTGGCGGCTTTCCGCAGAATCCCGGCGCTGTCCGTCCGAGTGAGTGAGTTACAGCAGAGTCTAGCTAAAAGAACGCGAAAAGTACGTATTGAAAACATCGATCCCTCGAAGTTGGATATCCCAATGATTTCGAGAAAGAGAGAAAGCTCTCCGAGCATAAAGCGAAGCCAGTCATTCGAGGACCGGACTCTCTCTTCATTCGCTGCATTCCTTACGCTTTCGGTCAATTTTGCCGCATGGCGACAAATTTCACAGGCAGTTTCGCCCAGCACGTCAGTCCCTGCTTTCGAGAACCTCCGGACCTAAACGGCCTGCAGCGTAGCGTACCTTCATGCAATTATGAAGGCTGTTGGATTGAGATCTAAGTGCTCGCGTGAGAACAACGTGATTATGATCGAGGCATAGAAAGATTGCCATTGCCGTACTTTCACCTGTGATCACCAAGCGTCGATTCTGCATCAGTGGCTTCAGTTCTGCCCACGTGACCGTGTGAAGCATGCGCTGTTGTCATGCTGTTATGAATAAGTTACGTGGGACAGGTGATCAACAATGTCCCTTGGATTTCAGGCAAAAACGGATGTATATATATAAACTATGAACAGATAATCCATACCTTCCACTGGCTTCCGTTGATTTCGCTGTAAACGACTATTCGCACATATCATATTCGACGCTGGTTTTGTGTGTATTTATCATTCTATCAAACCACTCCGGGTGCTTTCTTTCAATGGTGAGTTTAAATAATGAGTACATCTCGACAGCCAATCCCGTACTTCAACGTCGCTGCGTCTGGAAATTCTCTATGTTTATTGCCTGCTGATTTCATCATGTCCCTTTAAAACGTGCACGATAAAAAAGACTTGCGAAGTGCGAGTTTTCACTGCACATCAATTCTACTACTGTACCTCACTCACGATATTGCTGACCTGCTTGTAAGGCATATAACTTGCACACTAATAATTCACTAAATTTTGACCATCCTAGTCCACAATCAGATAGCCTACATTTGAAAGCGCAATAGGTGTTGCTTCAGGATCTCATCATCCTGGGAGAGAACTGATCAGTAGTTCCAGCCGTAGGGCTCGAGATATTGCTGCGATGCATTTGCAAAGCTAGCCCTAGGTTTGAGAATTAGAAGAAGAAACAAGTATCTTTAGATTTCATTCCGATTTTAATCACAAATACCATGAGGAAACAAGTTTCAAAGCATAACTACACAATTAGAAAACCTTGCACAGACTTTCTACATTTGCAAAGTTATGTGTCTGTGAGACGTTCTAATTCATACACTTCAACTTGAATCTTGGAAAACATTTCTCACGACAGATGTACAACTCTCAAGATTTAGACTTTCACATGAGAGCTAGCGATATGTACTAGGCAGATAATCGTACTCGATTAATGTGTCCGACCTAACTTCTCCGCAGAATGATGATATTTCAGTGCCGTGATTTCCCCACTTTTTTGACACCCACTACGATTCGAAGGAAGTAACAAACTTCATATGGTAGCTTCTGCTGTTCGATGAAACGTCAAATATTCTTGAGCCAAGTAGCGGGAGAGAAACGGATTAGGAAGGAACCAGATCCCTGTCAACACAGAGAGATGTACATCCCAGTCGTCGGTGCTTGGCGCATTCATTAAACTAAAGAGTATCCCAAGTCGGCAAAGAATTTTACGACGCCCCTTGTGACTTGCTTTGCTCCTGTCACCTGTGAGCCCTAATCTCACGAACGCACATGCATGGGTTCTCAGAGTGCATGTTGTAATGTGTAAGGTACACAGACCCGGGCATTCCATTAACATCTGACTTCATGCCTGTTTATGCTCTCCCGAGCACTGACGAGGAGGAGGATGTCTTGGTGGGGCATGGATGGATAACATGCAAACTCAATTTTGGCGTAGAATTGCGTCGTAGTCTCTGTCACGGTGAGATGGGCACAGCGGCTTGCCCGCTGTTAGTTACATCGGTCCGTATAGTCCAAGAAACTGTCTTCCCTCGTTGTAGTTTGGAGAAGGACAATGATGAAGATGGAAGATAAAGAATGCTCGCAACAGCAGACTGCACGGTTCAGCAGTGCCCATTGATAATTTGTTGATTGCATACGGGCCATAACACCTTGAGCTTAGCATTACATTAGCACTCGGGAAATTCCGTCGAGCGTTGTTGGTCCCGGCCTTTGGGTCGAGTGGCCGGGAAGAAGTGGTAAGCGGAACAGGCACACAGTCATGCGTGAAGTCACGTCTTTCTTTAATACACGTGAGGACGATACGAGCAGTAAGTGCAAGCATTCAGCTAACTGCAAGCAGCCCTCAGAATTTCCGCTGAGAGAAACGTGCATAATCGCATCACTTCAATGTAGAAAACTCTTCATCGCCTAAATGTACATACCTAACGTTCTCCTGTCCATGGAAATGGAAACTCTCCTGCAAATTCCTTATCGCACTCCGGGGCGAGGTGCATTTGTTTCCTAGAAAACACGAAAAGCTTAAGTCACAGCTGCAGAATTCGTGTGGCCAAATTGCCGTCTTGCTTCAGCGACTGATCTTGGCAGAAAAGCAGAACAGTGCATTTCGACTTTCGTTGGGGTCGATGATCTCTGCACTTCTCGTGGGGGATGGATGACACATCACGCTCTTCTCTTACGACATATTTCCATAGTCAAGCTCAAAATCATTATTTCATTGTTTGATCTTATTCCATGGACAGGAGAATGTCAGGTATGTACATTTCGGCGAGACTTCTTCTCAGGGTGGGGTAATGTCCCCGTGCTTGAGTGAACCTCCCATCAATTGCTGACCAACCACGTAGCGAGAGGTCTTCTGGGGCACCCGTCTGTCTGTTACACGAGGACATTCGGCGCCTCTCGCCAGCGTCGAACCTACTATGACTGTACGCAGGCTTTGGGTCCAGCTGCAAATACAGTACTGTACTGTCCTACCACGCTCGTGTACTTTTCCAGAGAACCACGTAGTTTCAAAGGACTAACCAGCAAGAGCATATTCAATAATTCTTCGAGTGGCTTTTCCTGTGGTGCAGAGTTCTCCTCTACCGTTGGAATTAGTCAAAGTTTCTTCCTGAATTGAGCCCGCAATTCTTTCCGGGTTTCGGTAAGTTCATAATCTGAACGTCGAGATTCTCTGAGTGATCATGTCTAGCCTTCGTGTCACGTGAAATATGAACTTTGCAACGGGGTTTACCACAAGATCACATCGTGATAATTACTCTGGCACATGGTTATCTAAATCCGAAGAAAGGAAAATTTTCTAGATTTTTACCAAAAATTAGTATTCGCTCATGGTTTTCTGTCTGGAAAAGCAACATTGTCCTAATCCACGTTCATCAAGTGTATCAATTATCGTAGTGCTCATTCAGTAATGTACAGTTCATTGATGGCTTGACTACTGCGTGTCCGAATCTCCTGTAGTGAAAAGGTGCAATTTATGGAAGATAATTGTTTTCCCTTATTCTTCATACAATCCCATCCATGGAATCCTTCAGTTTAGACCAGAATACCTTTCAAAGTCTATTCACGACAGTTTTCTTACTGATCCTCGATAGTCCGGTAGGCACCGTTTAGTAGCATATAGCAACTAAATGGTGCCCTCCTACAAGAAATAGGGAAAAAAACCAAAGAGATATTGAAATTGATAGCATTATTTCAGAAGTCTAACTATGAATAATATTGTGTATATTTACTAGGACTTGATAATATCACAATTAAATATATGTACTACAATTTTGTATATTTACATATTATACTAGAAGACATGTATAACGAACGGAGATTCAAGAAAATCATAGTTTTTTTTTGCTCTGCGGGTTTGTCTCATACCAGTAGTATATATGTTATCAAGAGAATGAATCGGCACATGCCTCGTCGCAATGGAGAGGCCACTTTCTGCTTCAGCTTGACGTGCGAAGGTGGCAAAAACATGGGTTCTAACCCGAGGAGATGTGGTCATGCCTCAACTTCTCGGTTCCCAACAAGTAACCACTCCAAACTGTGCTGTCACTCTAATCACCACTGTAGTCGTAGACTAGTGAGTAGTTATCCAACTTTAATAATTATTAGGCCATATCACGATAGGTCGGTGAAACTGGAGGAGGAAAATAGAACATTTCTATGGAAAGCCAACCTAATCGGATGGTTTATACTGTAGCCAGTTATGGTCACCACCGTTAGCAGCATCTTGGAAATTTATGTCATTTCAATTTTCCCGTCAATTACTTTATGGCTGCACTTTCTAGCAGAATATTTAAAAAATGCGGCTATGTGCAAATCCAAATTCAGCCGCCAATTTAAACAACGCTCTCCTCGTGATTTAGTATCTTCATTGAATTTATGATCATATTTTCTAGCAAATATAATCACTACTTTGACAAATCCAAGCACATATCGAGAATTTGAACAATGCTCTCTATGTGATTTAGTTTCTTAGTTTAATCTATATTTATTGTACTTTAAATAATTATGCCATCATCTTTAGGTTGATCTTGTCACTTAAACATTTATTGCTATTGAAATAAAAATCAATTACTGATGCAAGATGATAAATTAGCCTTACTTCACCTATAGCCAAAACTCTAATTTTTTCTCATACCTTTTAACCTTTTACGGAGTAACACTAAAATTTTACTTTAACTTGTCGATGCTTAGTTCTAGTAAACTCTTGGCTACAGAGTGAAAGTGTGATTTAACTTTGCTTTGTAAAACTTTCCGCATAGATAAATTTGGATTTCATTAGTTATCTCTCCAAGACTTGAGTCAAAGGGGAGTTTGTTAGATTAACTTTATCTTGAATAAACTCCAGATATCGATAACCATGATTAGAAAAGTTAACTGTGACTAGGTAAGCTAAGATATGCTCCTTATCTCTTCTTGTATAGAAGAAAGAAGTAGCTATTCACTAAGTACAGTTCTAGATCACCCTTTGAGAGTTAACAAGAAGTCAAAGAGCTTGGCTATGGAGGCCGAGTATACACTTGTGCTTTAGTGAAGTTAATACTCTTGCCTGTGGATGTAGCCTGTGAAAGGTAAATCAAATTATCTCAGTATTGTGATTTCATGTGTTGATTGATCTTGATGGTTGGGCATTTCAGTAAGCACAGAAAATAAAGACACTCCAAAAAAATAGCACTGACATAATTAAATCATACAAATATATGTTTTGATTACTATATTAATTCATGGATTTGAAAAAAATTTGTATCAGATATATATATATATATATATATATATATATAACAATACAAAAATTTCAATAGCTTTTATTAGCATCAAATTTCCTTACGATTTATCTATCCAAATTCCTTGCAAATTTCAGAAAAATTAATATTTTAGATGTAAAATTTGAATTTTACGTTTTATTCTTTCATTTTAAAGGCAAATAAATAAATATAATTTTGAAGAATAAAAAAATTCTTTTCTTCATTTCTTTGATATAGAAATCTTCAACTATTTCAAATGCATCATGAATATCATTGTCTTTTTACTAAATTTGGTGTAAAAGTTGGTTAAGAAATACTTTCAATACAAATGAAACTCCAATTTAAATCTATTTTGATAAAAGAAAATAAGAATTCAAAGAATGCATTCATTCCAAGAATTTAATATTAAATATTTTTTAATAAATTACATAATAAAAATAATTTTATTAACAAAATTTAGAATATAAAATGAATGACTTAATACAAATGATAATACAAACCATGAATTTGTGAAATCAAAGACAACAAAATTTCATTGAGCTTTTCTTTCAAAAGAAATTCATGTATACATATCTCATCAATTGTCTTAGATTTAAATCAAGCATATGTACATGTCATACAAGTTTTTTGATTCTGAATTATAAATAAATTTAGATATAAGATAATTTAATTATTTTCATTTTCTTTGAAAATTTTTATTTTACAAAAAAAATTTCAAACTATCATCAATCAAGGTGTAAAAAATGTGACTTTATTCTAAATGAAGTATTTTTAACAAAACCTATCCGCTCTAGATAACTTTTCCATTCATTCAATTCAACAAATTTTGATAGAAAATTTATCTATATAAATTGATTAAAAATTTTGAAAACAAAAAAAATGAAATCAATGTAAGAAAATTTAATTTCTTATGAATTTTTAGTGTGATTATGTTATTAAAAAAAATATAACTAAATTTTATTCTAGTCTCTTGTTCAAATTTTCTGTTTGTAAATTCACATACTACTAATATAATTTTGAAAACTGTAGCCAACTTTAATTTTACTAGTTTCAGTTATTGACATTTGATTATCATCAGATATGTACAATATACTTTTAAAGTCTATCTTACAGGTTTGTCAATGTACAACTTATATATTGAGCCCTAGAACTTATACTGTAGTTATTTCATAAAAAAAAAACTAAGAACAAATATTATATATCAATAATCACACTTATCTTTAATTTGATAAAATAAAATTATTTTCAACTTCATTATAAAAATTTTGATACAATTTTTCCAACTTAAAACTATTTTCTACGTTATTTTTCATTTTTATAATACAATAAAAGTCTAATATTTAATTTCCTTATAATTATTGATCGTTAATGATGTTGGTTTCATATATATCTAAAAAATAGCTAATTTATTGTCAATCCAAACATCACAGTGTAATCTAAAACATACAAGAATCAAATCATGTTGTTCAAATATACTTGTAATTACAATAATCTCTACACAAGACAAGAAAAAATCTTAAATTTGAATTAAGAAATACACAATTCAAATCAAACTTTGTTAACTTTATTATTCATTATTTTACATATGAATGTAATAGATCATACATTAGTTTTCTTTGTATTCATATTTAAATTATATATATATGTAATTATGCACATTATATATAAATATGTATTCATATAGAAATGTTTATAAATCCACATGTTATTGAATTTCATTCAAAACATATTATAAATAGAAAATGAATTTTATAGTTTTATTATAAACAAATTTTATTTTTAATAAATATAGTTTAAAATAGCAAGTTTAATATGCGTTAGTAACACTATGTTTTATTTGCATTCAATGTATGAAAATTAGTTCTAGCAAAATGAATAACATGATATCACATGACTATAGATTATGTTTCGTTTACACTTGTTACATACTATTATGAAAGATGAAATCTTTGATCAACAAATCTTGTAAACTCTATCATAAAAAAAACTATGATTTGACATATAGATGAGATTTTTGCACTGTTTCACAATTATAATTAGTTGACATGTCACAAATTGTATTTAGATATCTGTATAATTTATTTCTAGCCAAATCACCAGGCGTGTGCGGAAAAGCCATTTCAGGTCTATGGACACTTCTTTGTAAAATCAAAGAAGTATACAAAGGACCATTCGGTTCGTGCGTGAGCAATGACCTTCGCATCAATTTGAACTGTAACGTTTAAAACCACTTTTTTCTCTATAAGAAAAAAGTAGATTAATTCACGAGCAGTGTTTTAAAATTTGTTATATGTGACATCATTAGTTGGAATATGAAATCTTCAGTTATTAATTTTTCAAGTTTTTTGCATTTAAACATACACTATAACCCTTAAACAAAATTTCGTTGATGAAACAAATGTTCTATCTATTGATCACATTATGATTATGCAACACTATTTTTTCTACGTGCAACATAATTGTATGTACATGTAACATTACTTTTTCTACATGCAACATAATTGTATGTACATGTAACATTAAGAAAAAATAATGAAGCTTACTCAAAGATGAAACACAAACTTGAAAGATTTTTTTGTATCTTTTTAATCATAATGTAAATATGTTCCACATGTATAATGAGAAAAGATCTTATGACTCATCATACTTTTAACTCATAATTTATTTAGAATGTTACCTATATACAGAACAACCACACATATTGCTCAGGTGTCATTATTTATTAATATAAACTGCACTTGCATATACATGTTAGAAATAAAATTTGCATAATTTCATATAATTTTATTTTAAAATGTCACAAAGAATTATGAGTTTATATTAAGTTTAGTACATTTTTTCATACTTAAAACTATATATCAGCATATTTTACTATATATTTGTTTAAATTGATTTTTGTAATAATAATAATTGTGAAGCATTTTATAATTGCTTATTTACAAAATGTAGTGTTTTTTGATACATTTGTTTCATATTTGTGCATACAAATGTTGTGCTTTGCTCGCAAGGTCAATTACATATCTTCCAAGTGAACAAAATTGATAAAAAAATGATTACCAATACTTTTGAACGTGATATCATAATATAGAGTTTTTATTTTGAAATATATACAACGTTATTTTTGTTGTCTTTGTGCTTTTAACTAGTATAGAGTTATGCATATGGATTTAGCATGCTTATTAAAGAGTGTGCAAAAATCTGTTACTTTATGAAACAAAATAAATCACAATGTGCAGACTATTCAGATTTTATTCTTTAACTTATATTTGTAACCAATTATATTAATGGAAACATTATGATAGATGAAACTATAATCTATATTTATATTGTTTTTGTATATTTTGATCTTGATGATTTAATTTTTGTGAATTTTGTAAGATATACTTTTCATCATAATATTATGAGAGGTTTAATTATACTATTTTAATCATTTCATAGGTTAAGCTACATGGCGTGAATTTACAGCTTTCTAATATTCATACGACTTGTTTCATTTTTCAAAAAACTGGTATTGGATCAGTTTTAAATTCACAAATTTTCAGATGAATTATTTTGAAAATATTGTGTTATGCTAACATGTTTTTTGAATTTTTCTGCCATGATAAATTTTGCATGGTTGTTGAATATTGAAAACGTTGTTATATTAAAAGATGAATAGTTGGATATACAGAATTTCGAAGCACAAAAAAACAATAAAATAGTAATTGTAATGAATTTAAATTTAAATTAAATATAAAGAGTTATGATACTATAATCAATTGTAAAATTTTGACAAAGTTGTTAAATTTCATTCTTATTTATTATAAATTTCACATTTTGATAAACTATGGAACTTAAATAATAATTGAATATTAATTTGCAGATTTTTTAATTGTAATATAATAAAAAATTAAATTAAATCACAGTTTACAAATTTTAGTCATTTAAAAAAATATTATATCTAGATGTGTGATGATTTAGAATAATCTAAATTTAGAATAATAATATAAATCATTTGTTAAAAATTTATTAGATGTTATAATAATATAAAATATTATATATATATATATATATATATCTCAATCAACCAACATGAATAAACATAAAATTTAAAATATATAAAATTAAAACTTAGATTAAAATTTAAATTTTATTCAAATTTCACAAGTTTATAAAATATTTATTCAATTTTACTTGAATTTGCAGTAAATTTTTAATTGCAAATTTAGAAATTAAAACCTTTTTATTATTTAAATATTATGTATTCATTATTTATGGATAATAAAACATAATTTATATCAAATTTATGTATTTTATCAATGTTGATCTTCAATTTATTTTTTTATTTTTTTAATCAACACATTCAAGCTTAAAGAGTATATTATTTTCAGCACCATTATGAATCAAATTTTTTTTCAACATAGAAAAATTTTCATCTTGATTATGCACATATAAAGCTTCATTATGAAATCAAAATCTTTGATAATACTTGGGGGATATCTTTACAACACATGATTGCAGTATGTAACAAAACATATTATACACTGTGAGGTTTCCATGTTTAATTCTATCACTAATAGTGTATTTCATTTTGTAAGACACTAAAGAGATTTATTATTTGGATCTAAGTTTTATACAATTGAATTTCATGATGACTTTCCGCCCACAAACTGGACATGTGTAATGGAGGCATATAGGTTATTTTATATTTTATTTACATGGTATTCTTATTATGAGTTTTATCAAACTTGAACTTTACATACTCTTTCATACATTATTCAATCAATTTGCGATTGATTGGTGATCTTAACTCACATATGTTTGTTTAAATTCAATGTGGTGTGCTATATATGTACATATAAAGTACAAATCTGTACAAAGCTTTTAAAAATATTTCTATTTAAATATAGTTAGCGCAGAAAAATGTAAGGACATAAATTTTGAATATCAAACTAGTCAATTAACTTCAATAATAGTGATGTTTGCAAATATTTGTTTAAGCAATTTGCATTTGTTTGGCACTAGATACTGAAAATTTCAATATTATTGACGTGTTTTTTATTATTTTTGCATGTTTTTATAATATTTTCATACATTTTTTGGAAATTAACAGACAAGAAAGAATATTTGTAGTCATGTTAAATGTTTTTAAAATATGCGATTCTTTTATCAATTTTAAACATAAAATTTGAAAGATTAAATTTTTATTAATCTAACGAGCATATTAAAAATTTTATAAAGAAATGATGTAAAAATAATGATATATATATATAAATATAAAACAAAGTTATAAAAAATGTATATATAAAAATTTGTAGAGATTAACTTGGAATAAAATATGAACAGCTGATAAATATTAAACAGAGCAAAGATTTCTACATCTACATATTGATGGGGTTTCAGGAATCCAAACCTTACAGATAAAGTACATCATCTATAGTTTGGTAAATGTTAGTACGAATAATTTGCGAGTGCGAACCTCTACATCACGATAGTTGACGAAAGTTGACATGTAGTTCACTTTTCTTGTCATTAGGAGTGCACTAGTTTACAATATGATCGAACATGATTCTACGTGGACTACGACATTTATCTGAACAGCACCATATTAACAATTGTGTCCATAAATTCGTCATGCAAGAGAGAGGAAAGCTGCAGTCGGGGAAATAGTGTGTCACAAGAGAGGTTAGCTCTGGGCCAACAGGTGTTTGCTAAGAGTAATGACTTACTTCTCGGCCTCTTTGACCTTTCCTTCATGTTTCAGAAGGTGTGATAGTCGTGAAGAATTATTATTCAACGAATTTCGGCCTTTTTGACCATTCCTTCACATTTCAATAGAAGTGGAGTAGTCATCAAGATTTGTCATTCAACGTCTTTATGGTGGCGTGAAAGACTCCCAATTGCTACACCGAGCAGCAGAAATCGAACGGAATTGCGAATTGCGAAAGCGAGAGGCATATGGAATTCGTGCAGGGCAGGAGCAAGAAGGCCAGAAAAACCACGAGGGAGCGGATGTGGCATGCCAGGTCAGCAGCGTGTTTAAATGGGTCCGGGCCTCATTCGGGCTCGCGGCAGCGGCAGCGGCACTCGGTGCCTGCTCTGCTGCTGTGAGACTGGCTCGGGGCTCGGCGGTACGATCCATTATGCTATTCCTGTTCGAGTGATTGATCTTCCGTCTGTCTGAGCGGGGCGGGGGTCGGGTTGGGTAGTGTCGGGGCCACACTTTTCCCTCTTGTTGATGCTGTTGGTGTTAATCACCGATTCCGTGGTGCGAGTATCGATCGCGAGTCCTTGGCAGTCTTGGCAGGACGGATTCCGGGTTTTGCGGCCTCTCGGGAAGTTTCCAATTTGCTCGGCGGGCGGGCGGGCGGGCGGGCTTCGGTTCCGATTCTCTGCCCCGAGTGGAGAAGTAAGTAGTGATCGCGTCTGGGAGAAAGAAGCGTCGTGGATGACCGGATGAGTTGTCGAAGTAGATGTCGAAGAAATCCGAGCAACAGGAGTTATCTGCTTGAGATGAAACTGTGTTTATGTTGGTCCGTTCGCTCCTCGAAGGTTTTGCGTCTGTCTGGCCCGTTGCGGTGGGAATGATGGTTGTGTCGAGATGAGAGAGAGAGAGGGGTGTGATTGGTGGTCGATTCGCAAGGCGAGGCCGGTGTGGTTGTTGAGAGGAATCGAGAGCGGTGGAGAAGTGGATCAGAGGCGCTTGGGCTTGATTTGACGTTACGGAAGTGATATGTGTAGGAAGGGACGATACGTGTTTGTTTCCGAAGGGAAAGAAGAAGAGGAGACCTAAATGCGAGATGGTTTAAGGACATTTGAAGTGGACTAGAATTGCAACGAAGTTCAACACCGGGGGGAGACGATGGGTGCGGCGGCAGACATAGAGGGCCTGATGGTTCGGTCGCAGTTCATGAGGGAAGCCATGACTAAGAGCCAGACTATCAGCGACAATATGATCACCATTCTCAGTTCTTTTGATCACCGCTTGTCGACACTCGAAGCTGCAATGCGACCTACCCAGGCACATACATCTCTATCCCTATTCGCATCAATATTTTTCTGGAGTATACTTGTGTGATCTGGAAGTTAAAGCGCGGATGGCTTTCTTTGGAGTTTAACATGTTTGAATTTTCAAGATTGGTAATACTTGATCACAGTTGCACATATGTCAATCGATAATTTGAAGAGAACTTCACTTGAAAGGTATCAGGATGGCAGAAAGTAGCTGAGTGGTCCTCTGGTAGAAAGATCATTACTGTTTACTTCCCACCGAGTTTTTGAGGCCGACTGTATAATTTGAAGAGGAGTTATTGCGTCACTGATCGGCATTTACTATCGCCCTTTAGCTAGGGGTTTCCTTTCATTTTTTTTCTTTCTATGTATAGATATATGTATATATTGTCAAGAGGCTCGTAACCAATATGAAATATATATCACCTTATCTTTTCCTCAAGACATATCCCCTTCAGCGAAGCAGTACATGTCAATTCTTAGCATTTTGCTTACGCCGTTCGGTCATCCTTTTCTGTTTTCATTTGAGAATTATGGATCAATCAGACTTTTGTAGATGAAATGTTTTTTACGCAGCTTTACTTCTTGCGCATCACCTTCTGTTCTGAGAAATTTATGCGTTCTCTTAGGTGTGCTGATGACTTAACTATCACACATCTCACTCGTCACACAGGTGCGCACTCACGCCTTCAGAACTGCACATGAAAATATCGACAGCACGTTGAAAGCAGCGGAGGTGGTCTTGACACAGTTCGACGTGTCTCGTCAGGTGAGCACTGGCTTACTGTGTTTTGAATGGAATGTTGGGCTCGTCCGTACTCTGATTGATTGGTCTACAGCTTGAGTTTTGGGGCGGTGGAGCTCGTCCTGGCTCCTGATTCGCAGTAAGGTTTTACAACTTTCAGTGGTTTTAGTCGGAAACTAACATTTTGTTTTGAACACTTCACCCTCAGTCTGTTTCAACGTAGCAACCATACCATAGGGATCAATTCGACAGTCGCATTGTCCTCGTGTTTGGAACTACACACAAAGTTAACAAATTGCACAAAGTTTCCAGAATACCTTGAAAGATGAAGCTAGTTCACTCCAGTCGTGAAGCGAGTTTATGTTCGTACCTTCTGTGTGTGTGTGGGAGGTGGGAGTTGTAAGGCGCTCCTTGTAGGGTGGTGTGCAAATACTGATCTTCGTCTCTGCTACGTTGAACATTCAATGTGTCGCTCTCTTCAGCTAGTATCATGTGACCTGGAAGTCGAAGATAAGACGAATGAATGAACCGGGGTTGAAATGTTTCTAAATGGCACTCCTTGTGGATCATTGATCCCAAATTGAGTTGGGATTCTTCTGTTTGACAGTTTCTTATTCTTGTAGAGATGGATGGCCGCCAGAAAGTGGAAAGAGGACATACAAGTAATTTTCAAGTACGTGCTGCGCATGAGATTCTAATGCTGGTATCTTACCTGGACTGCAGATGGAGGCCAAAATCAACAGAGGGCCTCAAGGAGACCTAACGGGTTTCTTGGCAGCAGTGGACCAGCTACAGGCTAATGTAGAGTTTTTCTCTTTGAATCGCAGTTACAAGAGTAGCGATGGTGCCCTAAACCATGCCAGAGGTTTGCTTCAAAAAGGAATGACCAAAATTGAAGATGAATTCAAGGCATTGCTTGTGCAGCACAGGTAAGCTCTCCACAAATGATGATTGATGTTGTTCCGGGTGATAACATTTCTAAGGACGTGCTGTTTTCAATCAAGACTTTCTTGACCTGGAATCTACCGGTTTGTATGAGGACGAAACTCGATTATATTGGGATTCAAAGCAACCTGGATGGACAAACATATCATTGAACATCATGTATTGTACAACTGTGTGTTGCATTTCGGTGAGCTGTGAGTACAGGTGACTGTTTTGTTGTGGAGGTTACAGCTGGATGTGATAACTTACAATTCAATTCTTTGTTTCAGCAAACCAGTCGACCCTGCTCGTGTGCACGAAGCATTGCCAGCAGCTTTACGAGCCTCTACTGCAACTTCACCGGTAGCCGCTGATGGGAAGAGGTTGACGCCCCCTCAGAGTCCGGGGTCTGAACCCACCAAGGCGAACTTGCCTCTGCAACTCCCTGTACTCATAGCGCCAAGAATTGTTCCTCAGCTTCATGAGATGGCTCAACGGATGATAGGAGCTGCTTTTCATCAACAATGCCTCAAGGCTTACAGGTACAGTCATGAAAACCTATAGATTAGGTCGGCTTTGATAGGTTCATCTCTTCGATTCTAGGGTACAAATTACCGAGATTGATAAGTCGCACTTGAAGTTGCTTAGCAAGTTACCTTCAAGTTATATTAGAGTTTCACCCCATAAGCCAGAGCGAGTGGTGTATGTTCTTCGGGCTATGACAGGCACATACTTATCAGTACGTTCAAATTTTTATTCGACATTTTCTCTATTTTAAGTTTCTTCTGAATATCTTTGTTTATTCACATCCGAGATCTGTGGAATATAGACTGCAGAGCCATTCGTAGAGCTTAATTTCACTCCCGGTCCTTTTTGCTCGATCATAGATGATTGTGCAACCTGAATAAATTAGAGGTACCCTCTCTTAGTGCGGGCCGACCTATCTCTGAAAGTTCTAGTACCCCTGAATCGAAACTAGATGTAGTTGCGAAAGAGAAGCGGAGGTCTTAAAACAACATGATTTCAATCGAACATGACCAGTTAACGTCGGGATGTGACTCAAGTTATAAGATGACTTACATAATATTAATTCTCGGACATTAACTCTCTACAGTCTACGGCTGCTCATAGCAGTGGCTGTATCCATACCTGCATGTGACGTCGAAGGTTTGATAAAGTACTGGACTGAAGGCCAGATAATTAAATGGTGATTGAGGTCAGAGGCAGACATTAGAACCACCTGTGATTCTTTAGTGGTAAGTGCTGACAATTTCAGGTTATCTCTACCCTTGACGACGCTTATACGTTAGAGCAGCAAAATTGATCCAGCGTGAATGCATTGTGGCCAGTAGTATTCACCTGGTTTTGACAAATTTGGCTAACACTTAATAGGTACGTAGACGAGGTGTTTGAGCAGGATTCGTATCTTATCTATGCGTATGTTGATGCAGAGATGTGAGGTCTTCAACTTTAGAGCAGAGTCTACGGAAACTGGGCGTGGAGAAACTGAGCAAAGAGGATGTACAGAAAATGCAATGGGAAGCTCTTGAGGGGAAAATCGGCAACTGGATTCAGTACATGCGTGCTGCGGTAAGTCACCTCTTTCTTCACGACGTAGAATAAGTACAACATATGTCATTTATTTCTATGTTTTCTCTACTTCTTGAACCTGGATGCTAGTACCACCTTGTGGGATATTTCTCTATTAACCTACGAATAACGGGTTGACTGTAGGGATGGCGTCCTATAGTTTTTGGACTGGGAGGTTAAGAAGTTATATATTTTCCTGCTGACAGCTGATTATGAGAAATTTACCAGTTTTGCCACTGAAGCAATGCAGGTGAAGCTTCTTTTTGCCGGGGAGCGTAAATTGTGCGATCAGGTTTTCTATCATCTGGATCCAATTCGAGAAAAGGCCTTTGCAGAAGTAACTGAGTCAAGTATGATGATGCTGCTGAGTTTCGGTGATGCTATCGCTCGAAGCAAGAAGTCACCGGAGAGGCTGTTTGTGCTCCTGGACATGTATGAGACCATGCGCGACCTTCTACCGGAGGTCAATTTACTATTCCACCAGTCCTCTAAACTACTAATTACTGCAAACACTAGACTTTTACAAAATAGTAAAGTCTGTTCGATGTCCACGCAGCGTACATTTAGCATCAGAATCCCCTTTTCTTAATTTTCTCAGTTGCGGATTCCCTTCATAGTTGATTCAAAACTCGTATCCTCGTCTCGTAAGCTTATCCTATGTGGAATACTGCAGATCGAATTTGTATTCTCCGGAGAGCAAGCTCAACCAATGCGTGAGGCGGCAAAGAATCTTGCAAAGAAGCTCGCTCAAACTGCCACTGAAACCTTCAACGATTTCGAAGAGGCTGTGGAAAAGGATGCAACCAGGACCCCAGTGTTGGATGGAACGGTTCATCCGCTTACGAGCTACGTTATCAACTACATCAAATTTTTGCTAGAGTAAAGTCTCTAGCAAAATTGACACAAGTGAAACTGTTTATCTATCTTGAGTTTCCACAATCAGGATGTCTGTAAGTTTGATATATGTACGAATAATGTCATGTATCATATGATTAATGCAGCTAATTACACCCGTCATGCAGCAGCTATCAGACTACATTGAAGCAATTATTTGGAGAGAAAGACAACGGAGACAAGGCAACCTCTAAATTGGCAGCAGCAACTATGAGGATAATGCTAGTTCTTCAGAGCAACCTGGATGGAAAGTCAAAATTGTACAAGGATGTTGCGCTGACGAACCTCTTCCTTATGAACAACACCCACTATATGGTCAAGTCTGTCAGAAGGTTTGTTACCACCTGCACTTGTGAGAAACCATGTTAAAGTCAGGATTATGGACTTACACATGAACTTCCCAGTATTGCTGGGCTGAAGCGGTTTCTATGTACTTCGTGGCATGATATCTTTTGCGTTGTTGGATGTCTTCAAATTCTTTTCTATCTTGGTCACATGGAGAAGAAGCTCTGTGCATCTGGCGAACATCACGTACTGATATAGCCGCCTGCGCTTACGCAGATCAGATGCCAAAGAATTGCTGGGAGACGATTGGGTGCAGCGACATCGTAGAATCGTGCAGCAGCACGCACAGGGATATCAACGTGCCGCCTGGGCTAAGGTAGTGAACAGCTTCCGAATTTTATCTTTTCACTGAGAGAGAAAAGAGTCCCTCCAACCAAATCGTATTTGTTGAAGCGCCGAGTGGGCACTTTTTTCGGGTCTGACTCCGTTGGATAAGTTGCTAAAGACAACTGGGAGGATCCAGTGTTTTACCATATGAATGACGTTGTGGTTAGATTTCTATACCTATATGTCAAAGTAAGATACACGCTGTCTGGCTACTGACAGTGTGGAAAGTTGTTCGATTTATAGGCACTTTCCTACTTGAGTGGGTCTAGCTTGGCATCCTCAGGAGGCAGTGGTGGACTTGGCAACAGTGGCGACGCTAGCGGGACAGGCATATCCCGCGCTGTACTGAAAGACAGGTTAGAGTGTTGAGTTGCTTTCAGTTTCTTTTCGTCCGACATCCTCGGCATCAACTGCCTTTTGATTTATAGCGATATCTGCTGCTGGCACATAACATATCCAAATGAATACTTTGCTGACTGCGAAATTGTTGCATCACCAAATTTGCAAAGTAGTAGATACCAGTATCAGGATGTGAAAAAAGAAAAAACCTGGCAGGGAATGGCGGCAATCTCTCGAGAGCTGAGTTTGACTTGTCAGTGGGTTCTTGACTTCATAATCCCTCTGGGATGTTAATGAAAGTATCAACCAGTGCGCAAGGACTTCTGGTTTTCAAGTTCTAAGTTCCTGCAGCTTATAATTAAGCCTACTGAGGAACGTGTCAACGAATGTGATCGTTTTGCCTACAGGTTTAAGCAGTTCAATACAATATTTGAAGAGTTGCATATACGTCAGTCACAATGGACGATTGCCGATCCTGAGCTTCGGGATGCGGTACGCCTGCAAGTGGCAGAAGTTCTATTGCCAGCTTATCGATCTTTCCTTAAGCGTTACAGGTGTGTTATCGTCCACTACTTCGTCCAATTTTGTCCTTGTACAGATTTGTGTGGACATCTAATCTCACATTGAGGATATGCATTAGTATTGTTCTTAAGGATAAGCCTATACAAGCGGATGGAAGTTGACGGACCCTTTGATGTTGCGCGTGAACCTCTATCCCTCCTTGAACGGTTTCTTCCTTTTCCCCAGGCTTGTGATCTGTTGGCCTCTCTGCCAGTTTTTCAAGAGTTTTCAAGTTGCCGAAGTGTAAATCTGAAGCTTTTGGAGGCCTACTAACTCGTACCTTTAGGAAGCTATTCTATTTCTTTACTAATATGCTTTCATGTACCCACTTTCACTAGCTATAGGAATGAATTATCGACTGACACAATAGTCTCAAAGGAACACAAATCTATTACCATCTTGCATGGATTGAATTTGAACCTTTTCAGTTGAGATGTTGACTGAAGCTGTCGCATTGCAGCTCAATTCTGGAGAATGGGAAAAACCCACAAAAGTACATCAAGTACTCCCCCGAGGACTTAGAACGATTGCTGGGCGAATTCTTTGAAGGAAAGATGCGAGCTGATCAAAGACGGTAAACTGGGCTTCAAGGGTGCTCTGGCCGCGCGCATTGTATGATTTTATACAGTATAAATAATGTGTTGAAAATCTATCCTGTAATAATTACGAGACTTTCACTTTCCACAATCACTGAATTCAGTTCTGGAAGCTATATTCAGTTGTGCATTGGTTGACTGTATGGTTTAGTCGCGATTTTATCTCGGTGTGGTTCTAGATACTTCAGCTCTGCCTTAAGATGATCTGACACGAACAAGTCTAGCTGAGAGTAGTATTCTGTGGATACTAACCAACGTAGAACTAGGTATTCTCCAGTTTTACGAGCCATGAATTATAATGTTAAGGATAGATAAGGTGTCTTCTCTCACTTTGTCCACCTAGGAGTCATGTGATCTGAATTAGTGCTGTTGTGGAACCGTTTGGTTCTGCTTAAGCCTTGGTGTTGGAGGTTAATAAAAGAATCGTAGTATATGAAGGACATTAAAATCACAATCATCTAAGGACGTATTCTGGTTTCATGTTCAGCTCCAGTTTACGCTGGAAGTGGCTAACGTGTAAATGGTTATGTTACTGTCCGAAATATGAGAACATGGTTTGTGAATGATATGCGTCAGCTATGTAGGGCCGCTTAACATCCGCTTTATCAGTCCTGTTATTGTCTTGCTTTCTTCAAGGAAAAGGATGCTTATGATAAGACAGTGTATAATTCCTTCTAGATTTCACGGAAGGAAATCGCACAACCAGGCATCGACATTTCCTGATGTTCTGACCTTTGATTTTAAGAAAAAATTCTTCTCTCGTATGAGATCACCGACTAAGTACTAAAAATTTATGGGAAATATTTCACCTTCGGAGGAAGATGGATAGGATAGACTAAATTTCTCGTGGAAACCTTCCACCAGAGATGTACCCAACAGTGTCTACTACATTTTATCAATTCGTTGGTTCAGTTCGAATCAACAAGTGATAGACGTCATCAGCCAGAAGTTGCTGACCACTTTCGTATGTGAAAACGTACGCGCAACTCCAGGAATTGCGATGATTACGTCTCACTTGTGGAAAGAAAATATCACGAGAGGAATTAACCTTCGTCATGGATGGTGTGCTAACGAATGGAAAATTAGGAAAAACTGTGGAATTGGCTGAATGTTACATGACAGAGGTGGTATGTTGGTGCTCTTGAGAGGTGTGTTTGTACACCACGAACGCAGAAGGAAATTGTCTGTTGAAATGTAATCTACAGTAGAAAAATAAATCTAAGATTTTACCCTTGGAATTTGTCCTCATTATGTGTAACTTTTTTACATTTTAAATAGAAAAGTGATATTAGTTTGAAAGGGGTTTGTGTAACTTTCTTGACTTGGATTCTTGATGAACTCTTTCCTTTACAAACACACTTACATATGAAGTCTTGAGACGACAGTCAGAGCGCCAGTCTCACATCTAGCCCCAGGGCTGACTCATATTCTCTATTCTTGTTTTCTGTGAGGTATACTCCGTCTGGTTAAAATCCCAATGCTGACCTTTCTAGTGAGTAATACATATTTCATAACGAACACTAAAGACGACAAACTAAGCGTCTTGAATCTCACCAGCTGTCTCAGTACTGACTGCTTAGTAGACAGTGTACAGCAACAGTCAAGAGATGAAAGGTCGTTTGCTAAGGACCGCACGCAAGTTTTAATCTGCTTGTAGTTGGGGCAAACATAGCCAAAGAAGATCTGCCAAATCTATATACTGGTCAATTTCACAATCTGTCAAATTGACCCATCAGAAGAATTGTCTTTACTGCGGAGAAAGTAATTTGGGTTGTACTGCGGGATATGCAATTGCATTTGTGCAATGGGTAATGGTGAGAGCCGATGATAACAGCATTGCACCAGGGAAACATGTGGGGCCAATATCGATGAGCTAGAACGTACAGGTGCACGACTTTTCAGAGGGACAGAAATGAAACGAACAGACCCGGGCTACAAAGTCCGTCATCGCTTTGACCCAGAATCAGTCTCAACACCCAATGTTCTGATCGCAGACATACGGTCTTCACACACACTTGTCAAAAAACACGAGGCAGCTGGTTTAGAAAGAAGGGAAACCACGTGTAATGAGAAACAACGGACTTTCTAATCGGAAAAGCAAGTGCTCAAGGATATGTCAAGATATTACGATATGCTTGGCATAATCCATGCATCTGGGCCAGGAGTCTTTCCCCCCGATATGGAAGACCTGCGTGTCCCTATCGAACAACATCGAGGAGCCATCCGGACATTCCTCTCTGAGCTGTCCCACATTCAATGATCCCATCTGCTGTTCCTTCTTGTCCACATGCCAACTCATTACGTCACAAGAATGTGAAGGTGTTACATATTACTAGATCCCGCGAGGGAGCGACCGTAGGCTCGTTCCAAGGCCAGTCTACTGCGACGGGGACGGAGTCTCAGGGCGGTCGGTACCACAAGCCAATGCATTTTGTCCTTCTCCCGGGTCGGGTCCCCGACTACCTCAGGTCAGCCCAAGCGGTACACATGCGAGTGTACGGTCCTGTCTCTACGACCAACGATCGGAGACGCACTGACAGTTAAGCTTTGACCCCCGGTCAGCAAGGCAGGTGAGTACCCTCCCCTCCCGTCCCGTTCACGCTGATCACATCACCTCGTCCAGTCCAGTGCCTGCTCGGGCTTTTGTGCGGCACGAAGCTCCATCCCGTCTGCCTGACTGTCTAACTGGGTGACATTTCACCTCCATCACTCTCACTCTCACTCTCTCTCTCTCTCTCTCTCACAGAGGGCAACCTTCCAACAAGAAGAGTCGACATTCTCCAACCAATAATTCTTGATGAGTCTACAATCGCAGCCCGAGAGTTACCACCGTGAAAACTGTGGCCTGTCTCGGGCATCTCGAGAAAAGAGGGATGTTTAACATCAGAACATTGTACATATCTGCCAAGAGCTAGAAGCCCCTCGTTTTAGCCTTGGGGAAGGGTGGTAGCAGCGTCTCTATATGCCGCAGATATTGGAGTGGGCTGCTGATACTCAGAAAACAAGCTTCATTACTTACTAGCACAAGGACGAGAGGGCAAAGGGGACAAGGAGAAAAATTGCAAGCAAACGATCGTGTGTGGTCAATGTCTATTCTCAATTGTGGTGGGGACCTATGTGCCGCTTCCCCATGCATACACTTTGACGCAAGCATGGGTCTAACATCTCTAGCTTTGCCCAGATTCAAAATTATATCCCTCTCTCTCTCTCTTTCTCTCTATCTCTAGTCGGCGAGGAGGTCATGCACGAGAAACTCATCATCTACAGGTGGCACCTCTCATCTCTCATCCAATACTATCGCCATTTTCATCAGAATCCTCTTCAGAGTCTATGACTGGCTTCACCTTGTTCAGTTGCCTTCGCACCAGCCTCTGGTACACGCCGTTGCGCTCCAGCAGCTCCTCGTGGTGGCCCTGCTCCACCACCGACCCCTTCTCCATCACCGCGATCATGTCCGCGTTGCGCACCGTCGACAGCCGGTGCGCCACCAGCACCACCGTGCGCCCGCCCTCGGAGATCAGCCGGTCCAGCGCCTGCTGCACCAGCGCCTCGCTCTCCGTGTCCAGCGAGCTCGTCGCCTCGTCCAGCAGCAGCACCTTGGGCCGCCTCAGCAGCATGCGCGCGATGGCGATCCTCTGCCGCTGCCCTCCCGACAGCCGCACGCCCCGCTCGCCCACTCGCGTCGCGTACCCGTCCGGGAACCGCATGATGAATTCGTGCGCATTCGCGTACCTCGCCGCCTCCTCCATCTCCTCCAAAGTGTACTTGGTCAGCCCGTAGGTGATGTTCTCCTCGATCGAGCACGCGAACATCTGCGTGTCCTGCGCCACGAGCCCCATGTGCTTGTGCACCGACTTGAGGTTCAGGTGCCTCAGGTCCCAGCCGTCGAGCAGAATCTTGCCCCCGGTGGGATCGTAGAACCTCATCAGCAAGTGCACGATGGTGGACTTGCCGCCTCCGCTGCGGCCCACGAGCGCGCAGACCTGGCCCTGGCCGACGTGCAGCGACACGCCGGTGAGCACCGGATGCTGCGGCCGCATTTGGTAGTGGAATTTCACGTCCTCGAGCTTGATTTCCCCGTCCAGCGTCGAGACCATGGTGCCGGCATTGGGATCGATGTCGGGCAGCGCATCCACGAGCGACAGCACTCGCTGCGCGGCTCCGGCCGCTCGGGTGAGCGACATGAGCACGGACATGATGCTCTGGTAGGCGGACTGAATTTGGTTCCAGTAGAGCTCGAATGTGATCAATTTGCCGGCCGAGAGGCGGCCCTGCATGACCAGGGTGCCTCCGTACCAGAGGATGAGCACCGAGGCGCCAAGGTCGAGCCAATCGTTCACGGCCACGGCGCCGGCGTAAGCGAAGGCATCGCGCACTCCCTTCTGCATTGCCGAGAGCGTCTTGGATTTGAAGCGGTCAATTTCCACCTCTTCCGTCGAGAATGCTCGCACGGTACGCACATTCCCCAAAGCTTCGGAAGCAGCTGAGTTTGCCTCTGCCAGCAGCGCATAGCGCTTCCTGTTGAGCTCCCTGGACCACCGAGAATACACAGCAGTGATGTGCATAATAGGGGCCATGGTGGTGAAAGCAAGCATACTGAGTTTCCAGCTGATGGAGAAACACAAAACAAAGGCTCCAACTAGAGCTATGAGGTTGCGAACTATGGACGATAACATCCAATTAATAGGCTCCGCCATGGAAGACACATCGTTTGTCAACCGTGATGTGAGCTCACCAGAAGTGGTTCCATCGAAGTAAGCTATGTCCTGGCGCACCACGCCCATAAAAAGCCTGTCTTGCAGCGTTTTCAGAACGCGTTTCCCCACCACGGTGAAACACAGGTTGCGCGTGGCCTCGAACAGCCCCGTGATGATGGTGAACACGATGAGCAGCTGGATGTCGGTTTTGAAGTGCGGCCGATCGTTGTTTATGGCGTGGTCCAGGATGCGCCCCTGGAACCGAGGCAGCAGCAACCCTGAAGCTGAGGACACGGCCAAACAAGCGAAGGCGCAGAAAATCAGGCAAACCTCTTCCCTCGCCAGCGAGATGGCCCGCATCAGAAACCGATTCTGGTCCACCTCCGTCTCCTCCTTCAGCCCCTTGTCGCCCCTCAGCGTCCCCTCCTGTTGCGCCAGCCCTGGCGCCGGCTTGCTGCTGGCAAACGCCGTGGCGCCAGCATTCTGCTCCTTCTCCTTGCGCCTGTTTCTCAGATACAGCGCCCTCGACAGAATTCGTCGAGCATCCACGACCAAGTGCACGTATCTGCTCTCGCACAGAATCCAGGCCACCTGCGTGCCCATCAGCACCGACTGCCACACCTCGCCCTTGACGCCCCACAATCTGTGCGTCGTGTCGAAGTAAAACCCCACGCACTTGGCGCCGACGTAGGCCTGGAAGCCCGTGCAGAGCAGAAACACGACGAACAGCACAATGTCCTTCTTCGAGGACCCGGAGAACCATTCCTCGAAGCCCTTGGCGGGCGGGGGCTTGCCATTGGAGACCGCATTGTCCTTTCTGATCAGCAGAGGCTCTTTCAATCCCCCGTTCTGTTCGCCGTTGATGCTGCTGCTGCGAGGCGACGACTTGTTGCCATTCTGGTGCCCATTCAAGCTCGAGGACCCCGGGCCCTGCGCCTTGAGCTCCTTGGCCCTCTCCGTGCGCTCCGCTTCCTGCCAGGCCAGGGCGGAGCCGTAGTACGCGAGGCCGACGAGGCACAGAATTCTCAGAATGCTGAAGACGAGCAAATCCGACGAGTCGGTGGTGAAGTCGAGCAGGCTGTCGAGGAATCCGCGGGCCGATTGCCCGTGCAGGTTCCACAGATGCACCGAGGTGTAGAGGGACGAGGCGCACGAGAGGTCGATGATGAAGAGAGCCGTGAGCGCACCCACCCGCCAGCGCCACAGCGACTGCGCCTCATTCATATTCGTCGTCCCCAAGTACACTACGTTCTCGGGTAAGTACCCGGTTTTTTTCCCCATGAAATTTGTCGGAGGAGCAGCTGCGCGCGGCTGAAATTCTCCCCCTCCTCACCCCAATTCCCGACCCCGCGACCGAATTACAAGACCAATCGATCAATCGATCGATCGATCACTCCCTCACTCACTCACTCACTCACTCACTCACTCAATCACCAATCAATTAATCAATCAACAAATCAATCTATCAACGAATCGAGCGAGCGCAGGCACGCGCAATCCACCGCCCCGCCGCAGGCTCGGGCCAATTCGACTGCGCCTGTGGCATGAGATCCAGGCGGGATTCGCCTCCCGACCTCCTAACCTCTACCTGCTGCTGCTGCTGCTGCTGCTATGTACAATAATCAAGGCCGAGCGACGCGAGGAAATCAATCGACTGCGCGCTCGTCGTCGTCGTCGTCGCTGCTGCTGCGCAAAGGGGTCGTCGTTCTGCGCAAGGGATGCATCCACGTGTCCGGCATATGTACAACAACTATGTTTCCGTTTGGCGTGGAGGCGGTTGATGCTCGCCCGCCATTCCTTTATACTGCCTCGCGCCTCCGCCCTCGCCCTCGCCCTCGCGCCCGCCCCGCCTCACCACCACTCCCCCCCTGCCCATCCCCCCCTCTCGCCCTCTCGCCCTCCCCCTCCCCTGCTCTCTACCGGCGTCGCCCTCTCTGCAGCTCCGCCAATCCTCCGCCCATGCGCACGTCCTTCCTCGTCTCGTCGTCAGATTCTTCAACGCCGCCGCCTCTGCTCCTCCTCCTCCTGCTCCTCCTGCTGCCCCAGAGCCCTGCGCATCTCCACCCGCGCTCGCTCGCTCGCTCGCTCTCTCTCTCTCTCTCTCGTCGTCCGCGATGGATTAGATTGAAAGAATGATTGGATTGATTGGATTGAGTGCTTCCGCGTGAGAATTCGCTCCACGCACCTTCTCTCCCTCGAGAGCGCGCTCAATGCCTCGTTCTGGCGATGGGGGAAGAGAAAAGAGAGAAAGAGAAGAGAGTGGGGGGAGAAATGTGGAGAGCATCCGACGAGGCCGAGAGCTCTATTGGAAAGAAAGAGGGTCAGACGCCTCGTCGTCCTCGTCGTCGTCGGGGGGCTGCTGCTGCTGCAGCGGTCGGTCCTGCGGAGGGAGCGAGGGCGAGAGGGCTCGTGTCGGCCCAGTAGAGTCTGCAGCTGCGGCCGTGTCCGCTTCTCGTATCTCCAGGCCGCTGCACGGCACCTACTCCCTTCCCTCCTTAAGGGGCGACTCCCACCTCCCCTCCTCCTCCGTCCGCTCCCGTCCCGTCCCCGGTCTGCGCTGACCTCCTCGGGCCTGCCTCTCCGCCTCTGCCAGTCTCGATTCCACCCAGCGACTCGTACTTATCGCCTCCACCGGCTCCGCGCCGGTCAGGCCACGGGCAGATGGCTTTCCGTCCCCGCGTTTCGGGCCCCATTGCTGCTGCGCTTTAATGACACGCTCCATGCGAATATTCACTCCCCGCGCGGTGACGGTGCCGAGGTCAACCCGCCCCTCGCCTCGACTCGCCTCGCAGTCACCGCCAACCGATACTTGCTCCGGTTGCCGGTCTCCATGACGCTTTGACCTAAAGCCTTGATCCTCCCTCCCTCCCTCCCTCCCTTCCTTCCTTCCTTCCGGCCCTCTGGTTCTCGAGGCCCTTCCGCGCAAGATCCCGCGGACAACAGCAGGCTGGGCTGGGCGGGGCGGGGCTGGGCCGGAGAGGCGCGGCCGCGTCAGGAGGACTGTCCACGCGGTGCCCGGCTTGCCTGCCTGCCTGCCTGCGCCAGCCGCAGTTCCCGAGTCTCCCTGGCCTACTGGGTAAATGCGTCAACTGTGCCCGACGCATCCTCCACCAACCGAGTCGTGCTCTTTTGTCTACGGAGTCGATGTCTGTCCGCCACGAACGCGGCCTCGTCTATGGGGATTGTTGCCTCTTCGTCTCGCAGCCTAAACAAGGGTGCGCAGAAAATAACATCCAGGTAAGAAAATGCTTCATACCTTAATGCTATTTCTGGAAGATGAATACTGACAAGAAATTTTCCTCTGCACTTTTACACGCCATTTTTCTTTGGAGGGGAATTTGGTTGCATTGCCAGAATAGTTTCTCTGGACTGAACAAGGTGAGATTTTGGTTCAGCCACCGGGTCAGTACTTTAGTCAAGTTTGGAACTATCACTTTTCACACAGGTCGTTCATGCATGACTCTATTCCATAATGGGGAAAAATTAGGAAAAGATTACAGATCAAATCAAATCGCTTATTGGAATGATATTTTGATTACTAGCCCCACGAAATCTTGTGATTATCCTCATGAGAATTGTTAACTTGAATTTAAGCATCTATTTGATTTTTTTCAACACACATCACCACTTTAGGAATTATACAAGATTATTCAAGATAGCAGTATGATTTTCAAGACACTAGATTATTTCTTGAAAAATTAAGTGCTATATGAAATATTTTTGTTCATTAAAATATCCATCCACATTGAATTACTTAGCATGTGCATACTAAAATACTTCTATAATTATTATCTTGCCTATTGAGTTAGGAAATATTGAAATTTGATAAATATTTGTCAAACCTTGGTCCATATCTTTAGAATTTTGCGATTTTTTTGTTTCTTTTGTTCATTAGATCTATTTGCTACATTTTTTAATTGTGAAACTAAACTCTAAGTTACCCTAATCATGTTGAATTGCATTTGTCTATAGCATATGAACTTACATTGTGTGGCACATAAATCATATTTTGAATTCTTGACTAAGTACTTTCATTTTGTAGATTTCAGAAACAATATATCTGATAGAAGATGTAAGATTATCTTCTTCTTATTTATTTCATATATTATGCTCAAGAGTCAATATCTTGAGTGATAAACTAGGATCTAGGTTGAACATTTTGACTCATAATTAGCTTATCTAAAGGGATGTATGGAACATATCACTTCACTTATGCCCTACAATTTCCAAGACTAAATTGCATAAAAAATAATTTCATTAGTAAATGAAGATTTTTTTACTTACTAAATATATTATGTGTGCCATTTTACATACTCTTTTCTAATATATATAAAAAAATTATCGTTTTTTTGCATTGTTTTTGCTTCACATTGCACATAACAATTTGGATAAAAGAAGATAGATTAGGATTGATGTTTTCAATGACATCATGAAATAAATATCTATGAGTTTTGGAGAAAAAATATTGGCATGAAAACAATCATAAGTGAGATAGTTCACTTTGTATTGATGTTATATATAACATCAATAACATTTTTGACTAATTTTCCTTTGGCCATTAGTTAGATCTCTATGATATTTTCAAGATGTGATTGCAAATATGAAATTTAAAATTAATTAAGGGTGAAAATATAAATTTATAATCTTAAAATCTAAAAATTAGGAAAAAGATAATAAAAAAATTAAAATTATTTCTATTAGATTTAGTTATATTATAAAAATTTCTTCAAACTTGACTCAAATTTATGCATCTTACTTCAAACATGTATCAAAATTTTTCAAATCAAACTTCTCAAAGAAGTGAAACAAATGATAGGTAACGTAAGTTTGTATTCAAAAATTTATTATATTAGGCAAATTGTTAAATTTGATATGACATCACTTCAAATTTACCAATTTGATGTTGATAACACTCACTCCTCATTCAAAATTGGAGAAATTATTGGACAAGTGATAATACAAGTTTGACTTGTGTTCATGCTCAAGGTTAGATATTTTACATCTGAAAAAAATTGAACATGGTTTGAATCCAACTTAAGTTAAACCGTACATCAAGTTGTTTTTATGTTGGTCTAGTTCAAATGTATGTATATATTTTTCTAAGTATCAGATTTAGTATGGGTGAAATGAGTGATGAATAATATATCTTTGAGTGAAATAACAACAATAAAGGGTTTAGACATTGAGACAGCTTTATTTTACTAGAGCTTCAAAAGTATATAGAACTATAATAATTGACTTATACAAGTTTGTGAGAAAGCTCGAGAAATGATATCATAATAAATGGAATTATGAAAATCAATTGATAATTTTTTAGATAATCACTTTACATATATCCTTTCTCCAAACAAATTGGAATCTTAGTTCCACCATGTTTACCAATTTTAGATGATAGAGGTCCTTGTCCTAGTTCAATCATTTGGTTTCCTCCGTGTGAAACTATTGCATCGAGGAAATGCTGACGATGTTACAACTGCTTTCCCTCTTTATTTCTTACATAGAGACTGAAGAGAAAGGACGCGACTTCGCCTCCTTACTCGTGACAATCAGCTGTCCATCATGATGGGCTTTATTGGCATGGTCCCCGATTTAGCATTTTGAACGGGCGGGATTGAAATGAACATGGCAACAAAACAAAGATGAGGTGAAGAAAAAGTCTTGGAGCTAAATGTGATGTTACAAGGTCGCTGACACATTGAAGAACATGGCACGAGCAACCTCCTTGTTTTAAATGTGCTCTATTTTGTGTCGGGGAGCCAAGTCACAAGACTTTGCAGCCATGATCACAATCGCACATGCGCATATGGTATCGCTGATGCACATGCCCCATTGGTTCCACCTCTTCAAATCACATCAAATGATTTCGGTAAATTTGTACGATCACCCACTCGAATCAATTGTGTGTATAGGAACCACATTATTGTTAGTTTTACCCCCTCTGGATACTCGAACCCTTGCCAGCAAACATAGGTGAGAAATTTTTAGGGTTTTACGGGCAGAGTAATAGCTGCATACAGAGGGAGAGCCCAATAAGAGTAGAGAAGAAGAAGAGCGAATCAGGGATTTTACTGACTTGACAGCCAAAGATTTGATCGGGTCAAAGATTTGGAAGACGGAGTATTGTGACAGCCAAACAGAAGTGTCACAGCCTCAGGAAATTAAAGGTTTTGGGAGCCTTCAGAAAGCAGTTCTAGCCTAACATGTGGTATAGGGACAAGTGTAATGTGGAACGATTTTATATGGAGCAAATGCGATCTGTGTTGTGACAAGGATTTGGAGAACTAGCGCTACACCCGCGCATAGCTTGTCAATCACATGTTACCTAATCCGGGGAGTGCTCTGCTCTTCGTTCCGTTGGTGCATCATCATAAACATCATCTCCTCCAACAGGATTCGAGCCATCTGTATGAGGTGGGTACACGTACTTCCATGAAGGTTGTTCGGTAGTTGCTTTTCTCTCTGCCTTCCATGCGAGGTTGGATGGATGATGCCCGCCCGGGCTGTACCAGGCTGAACTTCACAGCCATGCACATCCAACAGATAGCACAATGCACGCCACGTACAGTGAGCGAGTGTGTTCAATCAATCAAGAAGCCCCGGCCATCAAGCCCAGCCGCGCATTCATTACACAGGGCGTCTGAACAGTCTGCTCTTTTCCGTGGCCCTCTCTTGCTGCCCCTCGTCTTCATCGTCTGTCGAGTTGCCATTGGCCCGGCAAATTCCGTGTTGACACGGAGATTCTGCTCCGCTCGACAGAAGTACTGTAACATAAAATAACGCCCTCGACCTCTGCCCCATCCTCTCTGATTGGTGCCTAGTGAATTTCTCACTTCTTTTGTCTTTCCCAAATCGACCTCAGCTTCGATCGAACTGCGCTTCGCCTCTCCTCGCCTCGAATTTCCTCCTCACCTCCACGTCTTTGTCTTCGTCGTCTGCGTCCGCTTCCTCGTTCTTCGGCACCACGGCCTTCCATGGGCGATGCCACCGACCGCCATAGCTGCGCACCTCGAGGCACCTCGAGCAGCGTAAGCCGAACCCTAAGCCGCTAGCCCACCATGGGTTTGCGCCAGTCTTTGCGCCCGAAATTTCGAGCTGAGAGCGGGCCAGCCACACGTCGTCCGCCTCGCCTCCACGCAGTCGGACCCTAGCGCAGTTCCCTGTCGGTACTCGCTCCCACCACGAGAATGGCCTTTCCTCTGTGCCCCATGCACCGCTCGGTTCAAAAGCGTGGGGACCTCTGGATCGGGTCATCGGCTGCCGCGTCCTCCTCCATGTCCGTCGTCCCCAGCTTTCCTTCCGGTCGCCGGTCTGCGGTCTACCCCTTCTACCGGCGGTCCCTACTGTCCCCTGTATTAGTCCGTCACGCTTCATCTGCAACTGGCGCCCTGTCGCTACGGTAGCTGCCATCTACCATGGCATGCCTTCTGGCCTCTACTCGGCCTCAGACTACGGTCCTACGGTGAGGCTACGGCGCCGGATTCCGGACGTATTTACACCACCCAGTACGACCGGTCGGTCTCCTCTGCCCCGGTTCGATGTACAGGGCGATATGCCACTGAATCGTACAGTGTACGATGTATGAAATTAATATTGTACGTATATTGTACTGGAGTGTGGGTCGACAGACCGACCACGTACACCCGTAGAGGGAAGTAACTGCTACCATGCTCTGGTGCCATGAACCTCCGACTGAGTATAGAGCGGCTGACAAATCTTCAGTTCTTCCTTCTTCTTCTTCACACCTCAATCATTGGTGCCTACGGTCACTTCCGAAATAAATAGGTCAAAATTTTGGGGGCCAAATTACTGCTTTGTAGAGGGACCAGTTTATTTTGTACACTTATTGAATGTAAAACACTGAAGTTTTTTTTGTTAGACTCAGGTATACTTAATGCTTTCCACCCAACTTAGTCGTTGAAAGCCAATCGGATCTAGAAAAAATCAGTAAATCATAAATGTCTACTCTCTAAGTCACTTCACTGTAGTATTAAATACAGCTCGCAAAACGTCGTCGAGGGAAAGCGAGGCCCTACAAGTGAACGAACGAATGTACTACGGTAGTTAGAGAATACGCAGTCGAGTCGTCGACCGCGACCGGGAAACGGGGGTGTCCGACAGACACAGTGCCGGAGGTGAATGCGAATGGGCCCGGAAAGGGGCAAAAGCGGATCTTTTGTCTTATTACAGGTCAGCATGCACACGGTGCCACCGGTAGGGCGAGGTGGCGATGGGCATCGGACGGGTGGGCGGAGCTGGCATTAACTGCATGGACGAGGACGTCAGTTGGGGTTCATGAACCCGGCGGGCATCCATAACGGCTGCTCTGGTCTGGTGCGAGTACGGAGATCCGATTGCGATTCGGCCCATGATTTGGAATTGCGGCCGCCTACAATCAATATTCGGCTTTCGTCTTCTTCTTCTGCTTTATCTGCTTTTCTCGTTTTGGATACTGTACTTTGTTTTCCATCGAATTCTAGTCTGGGCGGACTACATGACGAGTGAGACCACAGTAGTTTTGCAGTCTCGTTTTTATTTATTAAAGTTTTTTTTCCAATTTCCAATCTGATTCCATTCTATTTGAATTTAAATCTACAAGAATGATATATCATATATATAAATATAAATATATATATATTGACACTGTGAGATTTTGTTTGGAAAAACTTATTAGAGTAGTCATTTGTAATCTCTTTCTTTTCATATATTGATAACTAGTTGAAGTTTTATAGAAAACTTAATAAAATATTATTTTTCCAATTGAAAAGGTTTATATTTTGAAGTTGTAAACCATTATATTTCTGCACATCAGAGTATATACACATAAAAGAGCCAAATTTTACCTTTGTTCACTTTGTGTTAGCTCTACTTTCACATTCTCTATCTACTTTTCTGTGCAATTCATTATGAAGCATTAGTGATGTTTCATATTTTCTTTGTATAGCAAGTATTCAAAATCTAACTGGGAAGTATTATGATTTTATTTTTGATATGTATACATAAAAAATCATCACATCAACATCTTTCACTTTAAAATAAAAATTTACATCATTGAAATTAGTAATAAATTGAGATGGATCCACATCACAACAGTGATTAAAACATAATTAGACAAGAGTTGCTTCATCAAAATTACTCAATTGACAATACAACAATATATTAATTTTTTCTTCTTATTTGTATAATAGTGAGATCTGTGTTGCATTAATAATTATTACATTGAAAAATATAAAATTTATTTTTTTGAATATAAAAATTTCAGTAAATTTTTTTATATGTAGATCAATCAAATTAAAATGAATCATAACTCAATTATTTGAAGCAAATCATAAATATTGCATATAAGCGCCAATGTTATAAAGCTTCAAATTTATACTATTATAAATCAATATTCTTTTTGAAATCTTAGCTTCATTCATGAAAAAAGTTTTGAAGAGATTTAACAACCATAAATTTATTGATTTTGAATTCTATTCACACATACATGATTATATTCAAGAATGATGTATGATAATACTTGAATTTGCTCCAAGGCAAATGATAAGATTAATAATTTAACATATTTTCTTGAAATTATTGTATTATTTGCATGAAAGAAAATATTTTATTAATTTTATCATTAAATAAATAAATTTAGCTTATTATTTTCAAGTATTATTTATTAAATCTTTCATGATATTTATAGAATTGTTTTTGGAAAATTTTGGTTCTGTTATATTTTTTAAATTTTAAGATGATTTAACTACGAATATCATATTGCACATGTTATAATTGTTTAATTATAAAGTTTGATTTTACAGGAATAATGAAAAAATTCTATCATTAACTTGACAAATTTTGAATAGTTTCAAAACGCAATGAATCATTTTACTAATGCTTGAATGATTTGGATTAATTTTGTCAGTATTTAATTCCTACATTGATCAAATATGTTTTGTATATGAGTAAATTCTAAATATTTATATTTCAATACTATGTTGAATTGCTTTTCATATACGATAGATTTAAAATTGTATGAACATTGTCATGACAAATTTTGAATTTGATATATAACAATACTCTCTCAAGACCATTAACTTTGGTGCATCAAGCAAAGTAATGGAGTCAACAATCTCCACAAATGGAACTGAATGCAAATTTAGCTTCATGTGTGATTAGTTCTTGGATTTGTGATATGAATGCAAAATTATGAAACAAGTATATCTCACATGATCAAAAAATGCATGTTTTTCACATGCAACTCTTTTAAAAACTCAAATCTTAGTAATTGTTTCTAAGTTCAAATATGAATGTATGAGAAAAATAAAGAAAAAAACTCAAATTTGAATTCATTTTGGAAAAAAATTTTAATCATTTGTCTAGTTGCATTATTTATCAATTTTCTAAAGATCTATTCATTAATGTATTGCTTTAATCAACACAGTGAAAACCTATTGAAATACTTTAAGTTTGTACATAGAAGATGAAATCAAGTCTATATTCAATAAAGCTAAAAAATTTGGACTAAACAAATATTAGCATGAACTTTCACAAATTTTTTATATTGCATTCAGGTGGATTAAATGGTGCAGAAATAGATATCTAACCATTGGCACCTGAGCTCTGCAAATGGAGCGACCCTCCCACTTGGTTCACTTGTTAACCCCCTATTCTGCCCTACACAGTCATTGCTCTGCTACCCGCGTATTTTTTCTTGCGATAGCAGTTGTTTTTTTAGTAGGATAAAAGGCTATTCAGTATTGGTAAAAACCAATACTAAATACAAGACAAAATAGAAAGTAATATAAAACAAACATAACCAAAGGAATTGTGTCAAATACGTGAAAACACCCGATCCCATTTCTACCTCGATATGTCCCCTTTATTTGAATACTCACCCAATTGCTTGCATGCTTGATTCTGTTAGAAAAGTATTTTCAATAGGTTATTTTTTTAATACAAAAATTAAAAGTTGAGAACAAGTTTTATACGTTGTTGTCAATCTCTAGTTATTTAAATTAGGTTGTCATCTTATTTGATGAAATTGCCATTTGTTCAACAAGATGTTCATACTAGATTCAATTGAATTTTACATTTGTGTATCACCTATCGTGACATCAACAGTTAGAATTTCACGCAATAGACACACAAAGTATCACTAGTAGAAAAATCTACTCAAAATATGACCGCGCGATAAGTCTTCTTATCATATCAAATAGTCTTCCAACTCTCGTTGACAAAAAAACCGAGGTTGGAAACTCTAAAACTAGAAGAAAAAATTTGTACTCCAGATTCTGATTCTCATCGAAGCCATAGTTAAAATATGATATATATATATATATATATATATATATATATATAACTAAAATGCTAATAAATTCTTCTTGTGCACCTCATGCAAAACCTGCATAGAAGCACAATTTTCTATAAAATTC